CAGCATCGACCTGCTGGGCTCTGGCGATCCTTCCACCTCAGCCTTCCAAGTAGCTGGAACCACAGGTATGCGCTACCACGCCCGGCTAATTTTTGATTTATTGTAGAGGTGAGGTCTCGCCAAGTTGTCCAGGCGGGTCTCGAACCCGCAGGCTCAGGTAATCCACTCACTTCAGCCTCCCAAAGGCACGGGATTACAGGCTGAGCCACTGAGCCCGGCTTAGTATTTTAATTCTAAAGTTCTTTTTCTTTTTTCCTTTGAAGGTCTTTTTGAGCCCAGAGAAATTTCATCTATTATTTAATTATTTTTTTAGATGTCATCTATTTCTTGCTCAGATATTTATTTTATGTTGATATTGGATCTATTCTATAAATTACTTTGCTCTTATTAAGTACACTTATTTGTCTTTTCCTGCTTTTTTCTGGAAGAATTTGTTCATATAATTTTTCAAATAAAAAAAGTTCAGTTTTAACGCTGTATGTTGTGCTATTCACTACTCATAAGGGAGTTTTTAATGTTTAAAGAATTCTAACTTCATATTGCTCCTTTAAAAATAGCAATATGTTCTTGTTTTGTCATTATAACTGTTTTTCAGATTTCATCAAGGATATGAATTTGATTTTTATGCCATCTCATGTTTCTTTAACTTACTTTGTTGTTGGGGTCTGGTACTTCTCTTTTGAGCTACTGATTAATTTAATGAAACAAGTATTTTTTTTTCATTGTTTTGAGCGATGATCTAGAACTCATTTGCATTTTTAGCTAATGAGGTTTTTCTCAGAACTTGGGCCTGATTTAGGAGTTTTACTTCTGGACTCTGTGTTTGAAGAAAAGTAGGATGGCCTCTTTCTTATAAGTGCCATTCAGAATAGTAAAAGCAAAAATAAATGATAGCAGGCTACCCTAGGTGAGGCAGGTGGCTATTTTGTAGTGAAAAACAATTGGTGGAAATGGTGACTGTCGTCTTTCGATGAGGACCGATTGTAGGAGGTATTTCCATACTCTGGCAAGCTAGTTTTACCAGGTAAGATTAATTGGCCATACAAGCTTTTCTGAAGCAGGCTGGAGACGACCTTTTCAGGACACCTCATACAGGCAGAAGTTAAGCTTTTTCTAGGAAAATTGAAAGAAATAGCTCAGATGTCTGCTTCTTGAAGGGTGTGGGTCATCTAATCTGCCACAGCACTCACCTTCAGACAGTAGGTGCCATGGCAATGCTGTGGTGATGCTAGTGGCTTTGAGAGTTATGATGCCTGAGGCAGTGACTTGCAGGTAAGTCAGTAGTTTCCTTACTACCCAGGCTGTTCTGGAGGCTACGCCAGAATGAGTCTCCTTGGAGTGAAAATGAGCAAATTTCAGTGTAGGTTTGTTCCACCCCCAACAGGCTTCTAAGAGTGAAAATGTGTGACTCATCTCTATGCACTTGGCATTTTTCCTCAGAGAAAGTTGGTGGCTGTGATGGAGTTGGAGATGAAGAGGCCCCAGGATCATGTAACAGGCTTAGGTGATTTCTCTTTAGCTAGAGACTTCTAAGGCTTTTCCTGGGGTAGGTGAGCAGTTGAAGATCTAGAAAACAGATGGTCTAGTGAAGGAGGCTTTCTTGTTGGGTGAGAGGGTAGCTTCCTGCTTAACAGTTTTTCATAGTGAGTAAACGTTGCAATGGATTGGTCGGCAGATCTTCTGTTCTCATCTGTAAAAATTCCCCATCACAAAGCTTCAAGTCTGTATTTAGGAGCTTTCTATATTTCTCAGCTGTTCTACCATGATAAGGTTTTTTTCTCCTACTTTTTTTTTTTTTTTGAGTTGGAGTCTCACTCTGTCACCCAGACTGGAGTGCAGTGGCCGCTCCCGGCCACCGCAGCCTCGACCTGCTGGGCTCCGGCGATCCTTCCGCCTCAGCCTTCCAAGTAGCTGGAACTACAGGCGCGCGCTACCATGCCTGGCTAATTTTTTTTGATTTATTGTAGAGATGAGGTCTGGCCAAGTTACCTGGGCCGGTCTCAAACCCGGGCTCAGGCAATCCACTCACCTCGGCCTCCCAAAGTGCTGGGATTACAGGCTTAGCCACCGAGCCCGGTCTTTTTCTCCTACTTTAATTACATGTTTTCAATTAGGGAATTAAAATGGGACCCATTAAAAAACATGGGCTTATTTTACTATCTTCCCCAAACCCCTCTGGATAACCACTTCTTTTTTTTTTTTTTTTTTTTTGAGTTGGAGTCTCACTGTCACCCAGACTGGGGTGCAGTGGCCGCTCCGAGTAGCTGGAACTACAGGTCTCAGGCAATCCACTCACCTCAGCCTCCCAAAGTGCTGGGATTACAGACTGAACCACCGAGCCCGGCTGAAACTCCTCTCTTAATGGTGAACCTAGACTCCTTGATGACATTGTTGATTCTTTCTACTGGGAATTTTCTCCCCTCTTGACTTCTGTAATGTTGCCATGTCTTAGTGGAACTCATTTATTGGACTTTGTAGAGTGAAAATGGAAACTTTATTCTATCATATCATTATCTCTTTGAACAAATTATCTGTGGAATTGTCCTTGCATGCTTCTAGATAAAATATGGGACAAATCCTAGGTTTCAGATATGAATGACTGTTCAAAATTTCCAGGAGATAAGAAGCCTAATACAGTCTACTTATGAAACTGTAGTCTCTACACATTAAAAAGCAAAAACAAAAACTTCTTCCTTCCCCAAGCTTGGACCTGAATCATGCTCAGGAGGTAGCACTGAAAAGCATGGTATGATCATTCATTTTCTTTTTATCACTAAACTTCCTCTCGCTTGCTATTTCTAATCCTTCTTGGGTTGGTCACAGGCAGGAGGAGAAGATCAATATTTTATGTGGCTATTTTCTTGGCGGAGAGCCTTCATGTTAAATACCCAGACACTAGCTTTTTCTCTTGAAGGGAGAGAACTAGCATTTCAACATCTGACACACAAAGTGGATTCTTTAAACACTTCCATCTTGTAACTGAGATTTCATTTGACATTTCAGGATTCAGGTGATACTTTCTCTGTCTGGTCATTTATCAATCACCCCTCAGTTCCTGAATTCCTATCGTTTTTCTCACACATTCTCTCTCTTTTGGGGTTACCTCACCCACGAAAGGATGGTCCCTTTCATAGTGACACAAGTCTAGTTTCCTTTCACGAGGTTCATATTTGAGCCCATTTGAAAGTGCACACATTTTCTGCCACCATTGGTGTGAGCCCCATTTCTGCCTACCATGTCATTGTTAGTCTCCCATTTTCAGTATACCTGCAAGCTGCCTCTTAACCTTCAAACTTCCTAGATGAGAGTTTGGAATAGTCCTTGCTCCCTCACCCCCAAACCAGGAAAGCCGTGTCAGTTTCCCTTAGTAGCCCTCTGAAGCCCCCTTACTTGTGGGGAGGTTCTAGTCTCCATGGATAGGGAGGAGAAATACACAGCATTTGGAAAGTTCTCTTTGGAGAAATCCTCACTATTAGCCATTCTTATGAATTCCCAGCCTTCTTTGAGTAGGGGAAGGAACCACTTTTGAGACATCCTTTTTTCAAGTCCTGCATTGATGATCATGATTTTAGGATCTGAGGGATATCCATTTTGGGACTTCATTTAACTTTAAGATAGAGAGAATCATATTTAAATATCCTGTCTTACTGTGTTTTTCCATTAACTTTCTATTTTTTCTCTTACTTTTTCTTTTATTTGAAGAGTTTGTTGCTCTGTTCCTTTTCTTATCAATTCCTTAACCATGGGTATTTCCCAAAGCTCTTCTTATCTCACTTTATAATCAATCAGTTAACTTATGTTTGCTCATATAATCACTACAGAAGACTCCCACATTTGTATTTTTAACTTTTTATCATCAGCTTTCCCTCCAACTCCAGGCCCAAATCCGAATTTGTAACTGTTTGTAAAATATCTTCACATATCTCATTGTCCCCTCAAGTTCCAAGTCAGAACTTTTTATCTCAATACCTGACCCAAAGAAAAACCACCCATAACCTCTCATGCTCAAAGAAAATACCATTATTTTAGTCACCTGGTCTAAAAAACTGGATTTCTTCTTTTACTTTATTTGCCGCATTGAATCGATGTAATCTCTAATCTCCTGGCATATATTCATTAGACTTCTTTTCTTTCTTTTCATTTTTATTGTCACTAGGCCTTCCTTTGACCTCTTCTTGCCTTGTTAACATCATTCTCATGATCTATATAGAGTTTACTTTCCTTCTATACCATTCTTTATGCTATTCTCAGGTTAATTTTCTTAGAACTATGTTTTCATCACACCATTTCCCTATTGAAGACACTAAAGGCTTTCTAGGGTATGGGTTGACATTTACTTAAACATGAATTCTCTTCAATTTGTCTCCCTCCTTGTGTCCTACCTTCCTTACTTGGGCTGTTCTTTACCTTCCTTCATGACTCTACAAGCAGTAGACAATATGCTAACAGATAGCTTTGTTCCATTTTGAGTGTGTTTTCTTTTACCCAAAGTGTCTGTCCTAATCCTCTGGCAATGTAAATTCTACTAATGTTCCAGATTGCCCTGAAAGTGTTCTTCCACATAAATTACCATTAATCTTTCCCATCTCTGAATTACTATTGTGCCTATCAGTAATACAAATTATTAGATTTGAAAAGTATCTCATGTATTTGCTCTAATTTAACCTTTCTTGGTTTGTATGTCCCCCCCCATCCCCAAGCAGTTTAATTATAAGCACCTTGAAGGCTGAGATAGTGCTTATATTTGGATCTATCATGGCAGTCAAACATAGCAAAGTACTCAGAATATGATTGCAAATTGATTAACTGACATTTAACATAAAATCTCCCACCCCCATAGAATATTTAGTGTGATTGCTATAAAATGAAAAAACAAATATGTAAACAACAAGAATAACAATAATTGGATGTCTAGGTGGCATCAAATTAAATAAAAATAATAAAAACTTAATTTTGAGAAGTGAATGCCAAAGCTATAATAATAAAACACTTATATTCACCTATAGTTTGGATCCACAATCTTCACACGAAACACATACATTCCAGAATGGCTCATGGGCCAAAATATATGGTTATTATTAGAAATGTTGATAATCTCATATGGTTGATTCAAATCTCCTGCTTTTCCAATACCGTAAGAAAAACAATGCTTATAGTTCTGGACAAGAAACAAAAACAAAAACCTGAAAGTCATTTTTTGACTTTAATAAACAAAAGTCAGTGAGTCCCATCAGGTGTCTGAGTCGCAGGGTCACCACTCTCCACTCTCATGAATGAATTAATGATGTTACTCTGGGAGTGGATTCCTTATAAAAGGATGAGTTTCCCCCACCCCTGCTTGCCCTTCCCCTCACCCTTTCTGTCTGTTGCCCTTCTGCCTTCTGCTATGAGATGGCACAGCAAGAAGGCCCTCACCAGATGTCAGCCCTTTGACCTTGGACTTCTCAGCCTCCAGAACCATGGGTGAAAACATTTCTATTCATTATAAATTACCCAGTCTTAGGTATTCTGTTATAACACCACAAAACAAACAAAGACAATGTTATTTTTCCTTTTCCTACCTATTTTGAAGTATTACTCTTTTATGAATAACTTCTCAGTCAATAGAACCTTGGGATCAACTAGCTCTTGCACAGTCTTAAAGGAACTTCCTTTTGGCAACCCCATGAACAAAAGTGTTATCATAAGTAGACGGTGATAGTGATAAGCTCTAGGAGGAAGCTTATTGATTACTGCTATATCCCCAGTCTGGCACACAATAGGTGGTCAACATATATTTGTTGAATTAATGTTAAGCTTTAATTTGACATGCTGTTAACATTTTTTGGTTTTTGTTTTTAATATTTGAGAGCTAGCTTAGTCTTTGTACCTGAAACTTCCTTCTCTGTACCTAAGTTGAATGATCTCTGATAATATATGTCTTGGGTTAGCTTTATCCATCCACCTGTAAGTTGCTGGGAGTGCTATTTCTGATCTGCCTTTAATTTGTTCGTGATCATTTAGTATGCTAGGCAACCATACCCAACTTCTTTGGAGTCCTTTCTGTTGAAGATACCACCCAAAGAGTTGTCCCTAAAATTTTTGACAACTGCTTTATTCAAATGTGAGGTACAAGTTATCCCTCTTTGCTGATGATATGATCCTATGTCTCGAAAACCCAAGAGAATCTGTCAAAAACCTGCTTTCACTGATAAAGGGCTTTGGCAAAGTCTCGGGGTGCAAAATAAATGTGCAAAAGACAGTTGCATCCATTTTTAAATTATTTATTTATTTAATTTATTTTTATTTTAAAGATGTGGGGTACAATTCAGGGTTAGGTACACAAATGTTCATCATGCAGGTACCCTTGCTGATGAGGTGTGCCCCTCCCTCTCCGGCACATTCCCACTACTGCCAATTCCACAACTCCCCTCCTCCGGCAGTTTCCCGCTACTGCAAATCTTTTTCTTATAGTATTACAATAATTGTTCAAGGTTCACTTATGAGTGAGAATATGTGCTTCTCAGTTCTTTATTTCTGTGATAGATTGCTCAGTATTATAGACTCTAAGTCCATCCAGGTTGTTGTGAATTTCATGATTTTGCCCTTCCTTATGGCTGAGTAATATTCCATTGTATATGTACCACATTTTTGTATTCAGTCCTCTTTTGGTGGGCAGCATGGTTGGTTCCATGTTCTTGCTATTGTGAAAAATGCTGCAATAAACATACTTGTGTAGGTATCTTTTTCACAGAGTGATTTGAGTTCCTCTGGGTATGTTCCAAGTAGGGGGATTGCAGGGTCGTATGGACGGTCAATTTTTAGATCTTTTGAAAATTGCCACACTGTTTTCCACAGAGGCTGTACTAGTTTACACTCCCAACAGCAATGTAGAAGTGTTCCCTTTTTGCCACATCCTCTCTGGCATCTGTTGTTTTTTGAGTTACTGATGATGGTCATCCTGACTGGAATGAGGTGATATCTCAGTGTGGCTTTAATTTTGCATTTCTTTGATGACTGGTGAGGCTGAGCATTTTTTCATGTATCTGTTCGCTGCTTGTATGTCTTCTTTTGAGAAGTGTCCATCCATATCTTTTGCCTACTTTGTAATGGGGCTGTTTTTTTCTTTTCAGCACGTTTGAGTTCCTTGTAGATCCTAGATGCTAGGCCTTTGTCAGACACAGAATTGGCAAATATTTTTTCCCAGTTTGCTGGGAAACTCTCTTGATGGTTTCTTTTGCTTTGCAGAAACTTTTCAGTTTGATGAGGTCCCACTTGTCTATATCTTATCTCTTATGGCATGGGCACTTAGGGTTTTGATCAGGAATTGGCAGCCAGTTCTAATTTCCATAAGGGTGTCTCCTGCGTTTTCTAAGGTTCTTATAGTTTGAGGTTTTACGTTTAGATCTTTGATCTATTTAGAGTTGATTTTTGTGTGTGGTGATAGGCAGAGGTCTTGTTTTAACCTTCTGCATGTGGTCAGACAGTTTTCCCAGCACCATTTACTGAATAAGTTATCCTTTCCCTAGTGGTTGATAGTGGAGGCTTTGTTGAAGATGAGTTAGTTGAGAAATTTAAGTTTTGCTTCTGGAATCTCTATTTTGTTCAATTGGTCTATATGCCTGTTCTTGTACCAATACCAGGCTGTTTTGATTATTGTAGCTTTATAATAAAGTTTAAAGTATGGGAATATGATACCTCCTGCTTTTTTTGTTTGTTTGTTTGTTTTTTGTTTTTGTTTTTTGCTGAGGATTGTTTTGGCGATTCTTCGTTTATGTTTCCATATGAATTCCTGTATTGTCATTTCCAGGTTTCCAGGTCTGACAAGAATGTTGCTGGTAATTTAATGGATATTGCATTAAATCTGTAGATTGCCTTGGGTAGGATGGACATCTTAACAATGTTGTTTCTTCCAATCCATGAGCATGGACTGTTTTTTCATTTGTTTGTGTCATCTTTGATTTCTTTGAGCAGTGCTTTGTAGTTTTCATTGTAAAGGTTTTTTACATCTCTGCTTAGGAAGATGCCAATGTATTTCATTTTTTTGTGGCTATTGTGAATGGGATTGTGCTTTTCATTTTAGTTTCTGTTTGTTTATTGCTGGTGTAGAGAAAGACAGTTGCATTCTTATATACCAATAACAAGTAGGCAGAGAACCAAATTCATTCACAATAGCCACCAAAAAAGCAAAATATCTTGGCATTTTCCTAACCAGAGAAGTGAAAGACCTTTACAATGAAAACTACAGAACACTGCTCAGAGGAATCCAAGAAGACACCAACAAATGGAAAAATATTCCATGTTCTTGGATAGAAAGAATCAACACTGTAAGCTGTCCATCCTGACAAAGGCAATCTACAGATTCAACGCAATACCCATTAAATTATCAACATCAGTCTTCTCAGACCTTGCAATGACAATACAGAAATTCATATGGAAACATAAACGACCATGAATAGCCAAAACAATCCTCAGCAAAAGAAACAAAGTGGGAGGTATCACACTTCCAGACTTTAAACTTTACTATAAAGCTACAATAATCAAAACAGCCTGGTATTGGTACAAGAACAGGCATATGGACCAATGGAACCTCAATTTCTCAACCAACTCATCTTTGACAAAGCCTCCACCAACAACCACTGGGGAGGGCAGTACCTATTTAGTAAATGGTGGGGAGAAAACTGGTTGACAACATGCAGAGGATTGAAACAAGATCCCTACCTATCACCAAACACAAAAATCAGTTCTAAGTGCATCAAAGACCTAAACGTAAAACCTCAAGCTATAAGAACCTTAGAAAATGCAGGAGACACCCTTATGGAAATTGGACCTGGCAACCAATTCCTGATCAAAACCCTAAGTGCCCATGCCATAAGAGATATGATAGACAAGTGGGACCTCATCAAACTGAAAAGTTTCTGCAAAGCAAAAGAAACCATCAAGAGAGTGGGGAGAACAGCCCACAGGATGGGAAAAAATATTTGCCAACTGTATATCTGACAAAGGCCTGACATCCAGAATCTATAAGGAACTCAAATGTGCCAAAAGAAAAAATAAGAGAGCCCCATTAAAAAGTGGGCAAAAGACATGAATAGACACTTTTCAAAAGAACATTTATAAGTAGCCAACAGACACATGAAAAAGTGCTTAGCCTCACTAATCATCAGAAATGCAAATCAAAACCACATTGAGATACCACCTAATTCCTGTAGAAATGTGGAGGAAAAGGAATGCCTCTACTCTGTTGGTGGAAATGCAAACTAGTGCAACCTCTTTGGAAAACAGTGTGGCAATTTCTAAAATAACTCGACATTGCCCTTCCATATGACTCAGCAATTCCCCTATTGGGAATATATCCGGAGAAACTCAAATCATTCTACAAAAAAGATACCTGCACATGAATGTTTATTGCAGCACTATTCACAATAGCAAAAACATGGAACCAACCATGCTGCCCACAGAAACTGGACTGGACAAAAAAAAAAAAAGTACATGTACACAGTGGAATATTATGCAGCCATAAAGAAGGACAAACATGTGGACTTGGCAGCAACTTGGATGGATTTAGAGTCTATCATACTCAGTGATCTATCACAGAAGCAAAGAACAAAGTACCACATGTTCTCACTCACAAGCAGATCCTGAACATTTACCATAATACCATAAGAAAGGGATTGGTAGTAGTGGGATACTGCTGGGGTGGGTGGGGGTGGGGGACAGACTATCAATAAGGGTACCTGATCTCAAATCAGGCAAAGTGGGGACCAAAGGGAGACCCAAACTTTACCTGTACGATGACCACTTATATACTTAATTCTGAATAGTACCCCTCACATCTTGAAAATAAAAATAAATTAATTAAAAAACAAAAACAAATGTGAGATACAATTTCGAATATGCCTGCCTTCACTTCCCTAGATATCATGAAATGTGAGGATATGGATACATCTCACTTACGTTACTTTCATTCCAGCAATAAATTATTGTCAGGTGCTACATAACAATGATTTGGTCAATGATGGACCACACCTACAATAAAAGTCCCACAAAATTACAGTGGGGCTGTCTATTTCATTTCGGGCATGTTTCCAAAAGAAAGCACCTCTGATTGCCACATTTGAGTTAACATACAATGACACCCTTCAGTAATAGTAGTTTTATTCACCAGAATATAACTAATCTTTGCAGGTACCTGCTTTCTGTAATATTCATATTCTAGACTGAATCACTCTGTTAGTGGTGAGCTTTGTGTTTCTCATAAAGTAGAATAGAATATTTAGGAGGGCCTGGTATGGGCACTCCAGAATTTTTCTAGAATGTAAGCTACTATTTCAGTGGTCCTTAAATGTAGTCCTCACATTGGCAGTATGTGTATCACCCAGGAACTTGTTAGAAGTACACATTTTGGGGCCCCACCCCAGATCTGCTGAATCAGGAACTCTGGAGGTAGGACCCAGCAATGATTCTGATGTATGCTAACGTTTGAGAACCACCATACCATACAATGCCAATTGAGGCAAGCTCCATGATTGTTAACTACTCAGCTGGCTCATTGTTTCTTTGGAATCAATTATTTTGGCAGAGTCAGAACATTTAGGTGCCCTTTGCAAGATTTTGGGATATAGGGCATCCTTTACACTTGTCTCCAACTCCAGACCCTAGTATGCCCTTCAACCAAAAATCAGGAGGGTAAGTTTAGTTTAGTTTAGTTTTTTATCTTATTTTATTATAAATTGTGGGGTACAAATCAGGATTAGGTACATAAGTAATCTACGTGGAGGTGAAATTTGAGCTTCCAACCGGTTCTCACTTTCGTTGGTTTAGGGTCAGGTACCTTTGTGATGTCACATGGTAAGTTCAGTTTTAACTGATTTCATTACTAGTTTACTTTCTTATGGTTTTAAAATACTGGAATAATATTCTTTGTAATAGGTGTATGATCCGTAATTAATTAATTAGTTCAACAAATACTTATTGAGTACCTACAATGGATTGGAAGCTGGGGATATAGCAGTGAACAAAACGAACAAAATTCCCTTTACTCATGGAGCTTACATGCTACTTAGGATGCTGGATCGTAAATAAGATAAAATTTAGGCTATATAACATGTCAGAGAGTTATAAATGCTAATTTTAAAACAGAAAGACATGTCTTAAACTCACTTAATTCTAAAAAATAATGCTAAAGAAAATAGGGAGCCGGGCTTGGTGGCTCAGCCTGTAATCCCGCGCCTTTGGGAGGCTGAGGTGAGTGGATTGCCTGAGCCCATGGGTTCGAGACCCACCTGGGCAGGCAAGACCTCATCTCTACAATAAAAAAAAAAAAATTAGCCGGGCGTGGTAGCGCGTGCCTGTAGTTCCAGCTACTTGGAAGGCTGAGGCAGAAGGATCGCTGGAGCCCAGCAGGTCGAGGCTGCAGTGGCCACTGCACTCCAGTCTGGGCGATGGAGTGAGACTTCAACTCAAAAATAAAAAAAAAAGGAAAATAGGGAAAGGAGATATGGGTTCTGATGGGAGTGATGGTTACATTTTTCAATATGGTGGCCAGGGAAGTCCTTGTTGACTACTAGATTTGTAAGTAAAGACCTGAAGAAGTAAAAGAGCTAAGAAGTCTTTTAAAAAACTCATTCTCAATGCTTTTTACCCGTTTAACAGATATTTAATAATCTCCAAATATATTTTCAGCAGTGAAAATTAAAATAGTAACACAGAATCAACAGAAGCTCAAGCAGAAATTAAAATGAAGCATTTTTGAAATATTGCAATATAATTCAATAGAGAAATAGGATTTGATTTACCAAAACAAATTTAAATCCAAAGTGTTTCCATCAAGTTTTTGTTAATAGCAAAATGCCAAATTAATTATTAGAAATAAACAATTTACCAGGTGATGTTTTTCTTACCTCAGGTCCCCAGGCTTCTTCTAATGGCAGGTGCTTGTTAATCTCAGTCATTGACTTCCATGTCTGTGCTACATTTAAGCAGCCACTCTGTCAAAAGATTGAATATATATTACATTATATATTATATATATGGGTATGTAGAAGTTTTCATCTCAGTTTATTTCTAAGTATTTAGTATATTTTGATGTCATTGAAAATTTTATATTTAAAAAATTTTTTATTTTAGAAAATGTTTGCTAGTATACAGAGGAACAATTGACTTTTGTATATTGACCTTGTATTGAGAGAATGTCTTTTTTTGGTTAAAACAGGATTTTACTCTGTCGCTTAGGCTGGAGTGCAGTGGCATAATCATGGCTCACTGCAGCCTTGACCTCCTGAGCACAAGCCAGTCTTCTGCCTCAGTCTCCCAAGTAGCTGTAACTACAGGTGTGCACCACCATGCCTGGCTAATTATTTTTGTATTTTTTTTGTAGAAACGAGGTCTCACTATGCTTCTTGGGCTGGTCTCGAACTCCTGGACTCAAGCAATTCTCACACGTCAGTCTCCCAAAGTGCTGGCATTACAGGTATGAGTCACTGTATCCAGTCATGAATGCCTGAAACTCACTTAATAATTCCAATTGTTTCACATGAACAGTGTGTCACCTGTGAATATGGCAATTTTATTTTTTCCTTTCCCATCCTTAAATTTTTGATGTATTTTTATTGTTTGTTTTTGGTCTTATTACAAAGATATTCAGGAACAATATCTGAGATAATATCTGAACAATATCTGAAATTGTAGAAGTGGCGATAATGGCCATTTTTGTTTTGCTCCCAGTTTTGGAGGACAGGCTTTCCAATTTTCACCATTAAGTATAATGTTTGCTATAATGTTTTTATATCTATATTTTATTATATTATATAATCTTCTAAGATTTATTTTAAAAATAATATTATATACAGGTGATACTTTTTTTTGAGTTGGAGGTCTCATGTTGTTGCTCAGGCTGGATCGATGCCAGTGGTGGTGTGCCCTTTGGTCAGGACACACATTAATGTCTGATTGTCTTTCTTTAGTGATGTAGCAGTTGTTGATGCTCAATATCTGCATCCATTCATTCACTGGGGTTGTAAAATGGTGATATTCTAATTCTGGAGTTTCCTTTTCATTTATCAACTGGAATAATTTTATAAAGAGATGGTTCCCCTCTATTTGGTTACCCAGTGGTATAGTTCATACGGAAATGGTAAGATATATATTTGTTGCTTCTTTTTATTTGCCAGTTTTCAAAACAAGGTTTCCTATCATTCTCCAAAAGTGACCTTTTTAAAAAAACAAACAAACAAAAAAACAAAACCAAAGCATTATGAGCTGATAGCTTTAACATATTTAATGAGTTTCAACCCATTCTAATAATTGCCCTTATTGAAGCTCAAATTGTCCCATCTTTGGCTAGTAGGAAGGAACCTCATGCTGTTTTCTGATTCCTTTTGACATGACCCTAGCAGCTTTTTTTCTTTTTTTTTTGAGTTGGATTCTCACTCGGTCGCCCAGACTCGACCTGCTGGGCTCCGGCGATCCTTCCACCTCAGCCTTCCGAGTAGCCGGAATTACAGGTGTGCGCTACCACGCCCGGCTAATTTTGATTTATTGTGGAGATGAGGTCTCTCCAAGTTGCCAGGCGGGTCTCGAACCCACGAGCTCAGGCAATCCACTCATCTCAGCCTCCCAAAGCGCGGGATTACAGGCTTAGCCACCGAGCCCGGCTTCCAGAACTCTTTTTATCTTGCAAAACCAAACTCTACAAATGAAACGGTAAGATCCTTATTCCTCCCTTCCCCCAGCCTTGGCAATCACCGTTTGTGATTGACTGTTTCATTTAGCATAATGTTGTCAAGATTTATCTGTGTTGTAGCATGTGTGAACATTTCCTTAAGGGTGAATAATATCCATTGTACATATATACCATATGTTGCTTATCCATGCATCTATTGATGAACACAGGTTGTTTCCACTTTTTGGCTATTGTAAATAGTGAAAGTGAGTGTACAAATATCTTTCTTTAAGATCTAGCTTTCAATTTTTTTGAGTATATACACAGAAGTAGAATTGCTGGATCATATGATAATGAATGATTTTGAACTTTTTGAAAAACAGCAATACTGTTTTCCACAGCTGGTGTACTGTTTTACACGCCCACTGACATGTATAAGGGCTCTAATTTCTCCATATCCTTGCTAACATTTGTTATTTTCAGTTTTCCTTTTTAATATAATTGCCATCCTAATGGTGTGAGGTGGTATTTCATTGTAGTTTTGATTTGCATTTCAAATTCAAGATGTTGATCATCTTTTTATGTGCTTATTGGCCATTTTTATATCTTCTTTGGAGAAATATCTGTTCAAGTTCTCTGCCCATTTTTGAATCAGGTTGTTTTTTTGTTGTTAGGAGTTTTCTATACATTTTAGACATTAATCCCTTACTAGATATATGATTTGCAGATATTGTAATTTATTCTGTGGATTGCTTTTTTACTTTGTTTATGGTGTCTTTTGATGCACACAATTTTTAATTTTCATGAAGTCCAATTTGTCTTTGTTTGTTTGTTTGTGTCTTTGGTGTCACGTCCAAGAAATCATCACTGAATCCAGTGTTGTGAAGATTTTGCCCTATGTTTTCTACAAAGAGTTTTATAGTTTTAGGTCTTACATTTTGGTCATGGATCTATTTTGAGTTAATTTCTATGTATGGTGTTAGGTGAGGGTCCCAAGTCATTCTTTTGCAGGTGGATATACAGTTTACCCAGCACTGTTTGATGAAAAGATTGTCTTTTCCCCATTGAGTTGTCCTGGCACCCTTGTCAAAAATCATTTATCCATATATGTGAGGGTTTATTTTTGAGTCTATATTCTATTGTCTGTATATCTGTCTTTATGCTAGTGCCACACTGTTTTGATTACTGTAGCTTTGTAGTAAGTTTTGAAATCAGGAAGTGTGAGTCCTTCAGTTTGTTATTTTTCAGAATTGTTTTGGTTATTTGGGGTTTCTTGAGATTCTGTAAGAATTTGGGGATGGGTCTTTCTCCCCATTTCTGCAAAATACAGCATTGGGATTTTGACAGGGATTGCATTAAATCTGTAGGTTACTTTGGGTAGCATTGACATCTTAACAATATTAAATTAAATCCAATTATGAAACATGGGATGCCTACGGATTTATTTTTGTCTTTTTAAATTTCTTTCAGAAATGTTTTGTAGTTTCATTGTATTTTTTAACCTCTTTGGTTTAGTTAGTTCGCAAATATTTTATTCTTGGTGATGCTATTATAAATGGATTTGTTTTCTTAATTTCCTTTTGGGATTGTTCATCATTAGTATATAGAAATGCAATTGATTTTTGTATGTTGATTTTGTGTTCTGCTACTTTGCTGAATTTACTTATGGTCCTAACAGTTTGTGTATGTGTGTGTTTAATAGTCATTTCGCCATATAAGTTAATAATATTTGTAAACACAGATGGCTTAATTCTTCATCCAATTTGACTGCCTTTTATTTATTTTTCCTGCCTAATAACTCTGGCTAAGACATCTAGACCTATGTTGAATAGAGGTGACAAACGTGGGGATTCTTGCCTGTTTCTGATCTTAGTAGAGAAAAAGCGTTAAGTCTTTCACTATTTGATCTAATGTTCCCTGTGATATCGCTTGTGTCTCTGCCAACATGCTCAATTGGGTTAGTCGTTTGGTTAGTTTTCTCAAGTACATGGTATACTTGTAAAATGTGACTTTAAAATCTTTTTTGGGGTGTGGCAAAGGGGATGTTTTGTTGAATTAAAGTTTTAGTATTGGTTTTGCTCTTTCACTTTGGTTTTCTTTTTCAGGCATTCCACTCATCTGTATATTGGATTTTCTTTGCCTATCTTCAGGACTTGTCACTTGCCCTCAAATCCTTTTTATTCAAGTCTTCATTTAAAAAAAAAATTTCCCTCTTTTAATTTCAATTTCATTTCGTAAAGACTTTCTCTTTGGGTATGAAATTTGAGGTTGGGAATTATTTTCTTTCAGCAGCTTAAAGATAATTTTATGCTTACTTTTCTGATTTTCATTATTTCTATTGAGAAATCAGCTTTAAATCTTGTAGTGTCTCCTTTAAAGGTAACTTGTTCTTTTTGTTCTGACAGCTTTGAATTTTTTTCTCTTTGTCTTTGATTTTAGAAATTTTATTATGGTGTTACTGGATGCAGATTGCTTTGTTCTTGTCTTGATTTCTCTTACCAGTTTTGGAAAATATTGCTTCTGCTGTCCGATCTCTCCTTTCTTACTAGGGCTCCAATTTCTAGCTCTTAGCACAGAATTTCTTATGTCCCTTATGTTCTTTTTAAAATTTTATGTCATTTATCTCTCTATGCCAATTCTGGATGGTTTATTGACCTATCTTTGAGTCGATTAAGCCTCTCATTAGCTATCACACCCAATAATTGAGTTACTAATTCCAGTTATTACAATTTTAATTTTCTTCTAGAAGTGATCAGCCACTCAGATATTGGCATTGAGCCACTCAGATATAGGCATTGATAAGGTAGAAAGATGGGTGTCTAAAATTGCCCTAACAGCAAGCAGAAACAACATGGGAGAAAACGACATGTAGATATAGAGCTATAGAGAAGTGGATACTGGCAAGACAGTGACAGAAGAATTGAACTGTGGAGCTCAAGCTGGATAGGAGAAGAAGGGAAGAGAAGTGAGAGTTATGGAGAAGGAGAAAGCAGAGGGTTCAATATAATAGATGTTTAGGTTTGTGAGAAAAATTTCCACTGAAGAATAGTGGAAATAATGAGAGAGCTCAAGGATTGGGGGTTGAGATCAGAGGCCGAAGTGTTTGAATGTAAGTACTTTTTTTCTTTTTTTGAGTCGGAGTCTCGCTTTGTTACCCAGGCTGGAGTGCAGCGGCACATTCACGGCCACTGCAGCCTCAACCTGCTGGGCTCAGGTGATTCTTCCACCTCAGCCTTCCAAGTAGCTGGAACCACAGGTATGAGCCACCATGTCTGGCTAATTTTTTGATTTATTGTAGAGATGAGGTCTTGCCCAGTTGCCCAGGCTGGTCTTGAACCATGGGCTCAGGCAGTACTCTTGCCTTGGCCTCCCCAAGTGCTGGGATTACAGGCAGGAGCCACCACGCTCATGCTGGTTTACATACAATTTTAATAGGGGGAGCTATATTAGTCAAGGTAGCCTCTATGTGCTGTAATAATAAAACACAACTCAGGAGATTTACAGAATAAACTCTCCGCCCTCCCTCCCTCCTTCCCTTTTTTTTCTTCTCAGGCATCCTTCATAACAAAGGCTTAATTCTTGATCGCACATAGTCCAACGCAGATATTCCTTGTTAGATGATTCTTTTGGTTGACTTTCCTCCAAGCAGTGAACTAGAAACCCAGGCCTTTTCTTTCTAGTAGCTCCTTGAATTTCCTCCTCTGAACCCTTTTATCCATCTTGTATCTACTCCATCCTTAATTGTTGCTAGAATATACTGATGTGACGTAAGATAGAAAGCATGGAGGTTCATGTGATCCTTTTCAAACACCTCATCTGGAAATGACACCTATAACTTCTGCTCATATTCTGGTCATAGGAACACATCACATGGCTCCACCTAGATCTAAATGGGTCTGGGGGGAAATGTCGCCCCTACTTGGAAACCTTCCCAGCAATACCCCTATGTGATGGATAGCAGAATTCAGCAGTCAACTGTAATTGTTTTCAGGGCATGAGGGAACATGATCAAGTTCTGAGTATATGACATTAGTAAGTAGGGATGGAGTAGATGTCAACTGAATGGAAGGAACCTCAAACAGATGGAGTTTTACTTACAGTGAAAAGATAATGACCAGTAAATGATACTCAATCACCTTTCAGCCTTTTGACTAAGGTCAAGTATGAAAATGATACTATGTGGCTCAGCCTGTAATCCCGCGCTTTGGGAGGCCGAGGTGAGTGAATTGCCTGAGCCCGCGGGTTCAAGACCCGCCTGGGCAACTGGGCGAGACCTCATCGCTACAATAAATCAAAAGTTACTCGGGCATGGTAGTGCGTGCCTGTAGTTCCAGCTACTTGGAAGGCTGAGGCGGAAGGATCGCCGGAGCCCAGCAGGTCGAGGCTGCGGTGGCCGGGAGCGGCCACTGCACTCCAGTCTGGGCAACAGAGTGAGACTCCAACAAAAAAAAAAAGAAAGAAAATATACTATGGATTAGGAAAGACCACACCCCAAATCTCATTCTTTGGCGTATAGGGTAAGAGAAAGAGTATCCTTGGTTGGATAGAGATATAGGGAAAGAGATATCCTGAGGAACTTTTATTGAAGAAGGATCTAGGAGCATTTAAAGGTACAAGGAAAAGGTTTGAGAAGGAAGATGTAACGGGATTCTGGTCCAGAATACAGTTATGTAGGGATGAGATTATCGGAAGGAAGTAGACCAGAAGAACTTACATATTGGGTGCTGAACAAGTATAGAACGAATGTGTGGTGGAATGGATCTATTTGGTTACACGATTGAAAGACATTTAGTTCCTGCAGTAATCTGAGGGGGTGACAGGTGGAATTCAGCTCTCTTGGCTGCTATCTATGTGGGTTATACTTCTGGATCATTAAGGTCTCTGGTAAATAAGAATGTTACATTGGAAGGCGTCATCCCTGGTTGTGTTTGAGAGTGAAATCTTGGGGAATCTTAGGAATCAATGCTGATAACTTCTAAAGACTCCATCATGAAAGGAAGCCCTTATGGGCAGAGAGGCCTAAATAAGGAGGTGAAGTGTGGTTATTGGAAATAGTAAGGCCATTCAGTTGTGTCCTACAAAGTGAAAAAATAGAATAAAGGAGATTTACTAAGACGACTAAGATTGACCAGACATGGAGGATGAAAGAAAACCAGAAGAGCGTAAGGACATCGAAGCCAAGGTCCTCAGGGTCAAATGATGCAGAGAAGTCAAGTGAGATGAAGTCCAAGAGTGTCAATTTGATTTAAGCACAAATGTGATAAATGTCATAAAGCCAAAGGCGGACTCATAAACAATCAAACCTTAAATATAGTTAGTTCAAAGAGAAAAGAATACTCTTATAATTGCATCATCCTACTATAAACATTATTTTATATTTTCTGGCCCATGTATATCTGTCTTACGTGACCATGGTTTCTTATTTTCACAAGTGAATTTTAGGAGTTGTATAATTTAATATAGAGGTGACTTTTTCCCCTACCCACTGCTGCCTGGTTCTAGTTTCCTTACATTATTTATTTATCGATTTAAAATAGAAATGCATTGTTTAATTACAGGCTAAGTTCTATTTGGATTCAAAGATGTCTTACCTGCTTCATAGTATTATTAAAGCTATAGTCATTCCGGCCATGTATTTCCCATACTATGAAATTTGCTTCAACATCATTAACATAGCCATTATCATCAAATCTGAAAGAAACAGCAAACACAAAAACAATACTTTAGTTAAAATAGAGGGGTTAAGAGTTCCAGCTTTTGAATCAGATGGGCCTAGGCTTAAATCCGGTCTTCATCACATCACAGTTTTGTGACCCTGGGGAACTTGCTCAAACTCTCAAAGTCTCAATTTTCTTTTCTGTTGTGTAATAATAATACCTACTGTATAGGTCTATTTTGACAGCTGAATGAAATGAACATGTTATTTCAGTGCTCAAAATAAAAACTTAACAGTCATTAAGTAGGAAAATTTCACTTTTTTTAAACAGTTGGAACTATAAGTTCTCCTTACTTTGATAATGACTATATATTGATAAGGTGAGGGTAGTTTAGGCCCTGATGTTAGCAGAGAAAAAGATGGAAGGATGTGATAAACGGAGAAAGGACAAAGCAAGGATGCCCTGGTGTCATATGATCTACAAATATTCATTGGTTGCCTATGTCCCAGAGAAGGAAACCACAGAAATACTATGATGAGAACCGAGATGCTGCAGATGCCCCAGGAGAAACCAGCTGGAAGATGTGGCTGTCTTGGATCAGCAGCACTGGTAAACTGAGGAGGAGCTGAGAAGCAGAGATCGTCTGTAAGCTCTAGTCATGCATAGCCCATGCTCAGAGAAGGGGTGAGGATGTCTATCAACAGCAGATACTAGCAAAGAGTGCAACATGGACAGGATACCCCTCCCCTGTTGCTGGGTCTAGATACACAAGCCCTGTTGAACTTGGAGTATTTACTTCAAACTCAACAAGTTTAAAGAAAGATACGGTACTTCCTATTAAGATGATTTTTTCCCCTTCTACCATATGACAATAGAGACCTGAGACCAAACTGAAGTTAGGTTATTGATAAAGTCACACGGTTTCATACCAGAACTTGTGACTGTAAAAATGGTTACATGTTTTCCTTATGCATCAGTTACTGCCCATACTTAAGGAAATTGTCCCCTACAACCCTTAGGTGGAAATATCACTTAGGACTTTAGTCTCAGGCACTTGCTTCTAGACTGCTGACTCTTGGACTCTTGCCCCACTTTTTGATATTTCTTGCTTCACAACTCTGTGTCTGTTTATTTTAAATAGGGTCCTTGGCAGTGTCTTCTTATTCATTGCCCAGATGTCTGCCTTATGGTGCAGTTGTTATCATCTGGCTTTTCCAGGTCCGCTATAACTTGCTACCAACCGGTCAGCCCTAGTTATAAAACGTAGTTATTGTCCCATTCTCACAAATTGGGCACACACATTTTAAATGTCAAAATGTGATATCCCGAGAAGTTATTTTATTTCCATCCTAATTAGTTTTGAGAAATCTTAAAGAGATGAACGCAGAAGGTTGGTTTTCAGCAGGGACTGCAGCTAGAGGCGGGAGCGTTGGTGCTTGACTTCTTTCCTGGTGGAGGAGGCGGGCCACAGAAAATTCTAAAGCTCTATTGAGAGCCCTGGACCCTCTTCTACAGAAACATGCTCACAATGTGGGCACACACACTCATTTGTGGATCATTTCAGAGATTTGGGTCAGGCTTTTGCAAAGCTCTGATTCTAGCAGCTTTGAAAACAGCAGGTTGTTTGATTGCATCTTCCAAAAGTCATCAGATTCCTGAATTACAAGGACTAGTTGTAAGCCATATGCTTTGCTTAAAAAAAAAAAAACTCTTAATTGTACTGTGCAGGCATGGTTTGATGCTCAACAGCAGTAAGCCACAGTGACATCTAGTGGCGATAAGGATAAACTGCATGATCCATAATTCCTGGTTTATAACGCCCTTTGATAATGTTTTATTTATTTCACTGAAAAGTATGCCAAAAGTACTTGTCCTCATAAATATGTGTTATTTTCATTACTGTTCATTAATGTAATGAAAATATATACTGATATAATACTGATTAAACACGAGAAATTCAGAAATGTTACTACTGCAGTTGGCAACTCTTCCCTTCAATTGGTCATCTCTCTATGTCAGTTCCACTTTTGGAACTGGGAAGGAGAAACCTCACTGGTGATTGACAAACCCACTAGATAAATCTGTGTGGATAGTCCATGGTATTAACCATGTCTTTTATTTTCTGAATTCTGATGTCATAATATCTGAGGCCTTGCTGACCCTGGAGGGTCTGCCAAGGGTTAGCCAATTCCTGGAGATAATAAATAACTTCCAGGAGCCCCTTTCAGATGCAACTCAGTCAATCCAGAGGCCATATCTCCAACCATCTCCTTTCTAGACTGTCACACCCTGGGCTACCATAACCTGTCCTATCACCCCAGAGCCATTAGAAAGCATCTCTACTCCCCAGAGCCCCTTGAAATTATTCAAACTAGCCAATCCCCAACCTGCTTACCCCATTTCACCTACTTCTCCCCATAGAAACTACAGTAAGGCTCTTACCCATGTTTCCCCCTCGCTGCCTCTGTCTCCTGACTGACCTTGGCGTTTCCCCGTGTGGCCCTGTGTGGCATGCCTTGCCTCCAGTTTCTAGGGACCTGAATGTATAATAAAATTCCTTTATGATAAGCATTTTTGTGTTTGTCTGTGTATCTTCCCCTATTTGATTTTTAAAAATCCCAGGTACCCTTAAACTCCCCCCCAATACCTATTCCTGAACTCCCCGTACAGTAATAAAGCAAGTGCATCCCACTGTTTCCTTCAGGGCTGCTTCTGTGGTACCAAATTCCAGCTTGGGATGGGACAATAATAGTTCGCCATCAAACACTACTAAGGGTGAAGTGAGGCCTGGGACAAGGATCCAGCCGAGATGACTTTCGTTCTGAGCTGGATCACTCTCCTAGGACTGTTTCACTCTTATTAGCATTTGGTGGTGAATCTATTGTCCTTTTATCTGTCAAATTCTGCCCAAGTTGTTTCTGAGTCATTTCCTATAAAGGTAAGTCATTTATTTGAATTCAGAGATCTAGACTATGAACTAATTTCCCAGTGGCCACCTCTGCTACTGATTCTCAGAACTTAATTAATTAAAGGCTATCTGATTCTCAAAGTTAGTTAATTACTTAGCACCTAGGTTTGCCTCTGATAAATGCCTGGTTGGATACCCACTTATCAAGTATGTATTGCTATAATTCTATTGAACCAGACACAGAGCCTTATTGATGTGTCCCTCTGTAGTTGGCCTCTAATATTTGGTTGATTATCTTTGGAAAATTGGAAGCAAAAAATGTTATCAAGCAACTTCTTGTAGTAAAGATACAAATCAATTACCTCTAGAAAAAAATGCTACCACAAAAATCCAAAATAGTACTGTTCTAGTCGTCTACTCTTTCTCATCTTCCGTGTGTCCTCTCGTCTGTCCCTCGACCTCATAGAGATTTCCAGTCCCCCAATTCCTCCCTGCTTTTCTTTTCTTTTTTTTTTTTTTGAGTTGGAGTCTCACTCCGTTGCCCAGACTGGAGTGCAGTGGCCGCTCCCAGCCACCGCAGCCTTGACCTGCTGGGCTCCGGTAATCCTTCCACCTCAGCCTTCCAAGTAGCTGGAACTACAGGTGTGCGCTACCACACCTGGCTAATTTTTGATTTATTGTAGAGATGAGGTCTCACCAAGTTGCCCAGGCGGGTCTCGAACCCGTGGGCTCAGGCAATCCACTCACCTCAGCCTCCCAAGGTGCGGGATTACAGGCTGAGCCACCAAGCCCGGCCATTAGAGCCATTAGAAAGCTTGGAGCAGGTTTTAAGAGGAAGATCAGGAGTCCCGTTTTGGACAGGTTATGTTTGATACATCTATGCAACATCTAAGTGGAAAAGTGATATATGTATTTAACACCTCAGTGAACTTATGAGCCTGGGGTTCAGGAATACTGTGTCTGTTCACATCCAGATAACGGGATGTGGCTGGAAATCACCTCTAATCCTGACCCTTTAAAACATCCCATGTGATGGAGAGTTAAGCTCTGAGACTATAGTTTAGTCTAAACAAACCTGAATAATACAAGGGGAGATGTTCAAGCCGCAGATACAGTTTGGGGCTATATCAATATATTGAGACATTCAGGATTGTGACATCCCTAAAAGAGAAAGCTGAGATGGGGAAAAGAAAAGAAAGCCCTGAGTCTTGGTTAAGAGGTTAGGGGGAGAGAGCGAGCGAGCAAGATGTCAGATTTCCAAGGGGGACCCTTTGTAGCACAAGTGACAAAGGACAGAATTAAATATGGGTGATGTTGAAAAAGGCAAGAAGATTTTTGTTCAGAAGTGTGCCCCGTGTCACACCATGGAAAAGGGAGGCAAGCACAATACTGGCCAAATCTCCATCATCTCTTTGGGCAGAAGGTGGGCTAGGCCACCGGACTCTCTTACACAAATGCCAATAAGAACAGTGGCATCATCTGGGGAGAGGAGACACTGATGGAGTACTTGGAGAATATTCTGGAGCAAAAAGATCTTCGCTAGCATGAGAAAGGGCAGACTTGATAGCTTATCTCACAAAAGCTACTGAGTGATAATTGGTCACTGCCTTATTTATTACAAAATAGAAATATCTCATGATTTTTTTTTTTTTTTGAGTTGGAGTCTCACTCTGTCACCCAGACTGGAGTGCAGTGGCCGCTCCCGGCCACCGCAGCCTCGACCTGCTGGGCTCTGGCGATCCTTCCACCTCAGCCTTCCAAGTAGCTGGAACTACAGGCGCGCACCACCACGCCCGGCTAATTTTTTTTGATTTATTGTAGAGATGAGGTCTCACCAAGTTGCCCAGGTGGGTCTTGAACCTGCAGGCTCAGGCGATCCACTCACCTCAGCCTCCCAAGGTGTGGGATTACAGGCTGAGCCACCAAGCCCAGCTCTCATGATTTTTTAAAATGTGTACTGTAGTTTAATTGCTCTCATATACCAGAATTCAGATCATGAATGACTGGCAGAATATTTTTGTTGGAGAGTTCTGATTTAAATGAGACTGGCCTGTGTTTAAATGAATATGATTGGTTTTTAAAAAATTTTCAATCCAATAAATGTTATCACTGTTTTCCCCTTCTAAAGATATGATTAGACTTGACTAGTCATGTTCAACTTTTCTCAAAGATGGTGAATGTCACCTCAAAACCTATTGGAGATTGGTCTTATATTTAGATGTATATAACTGGTTATATGAATATATGTAAATACTAGGGAAATCCCTTCACTGTCTAAGAATCAAACAAAACTCACCTGTGTTTTAATTTGTGTTCACTAGCCTATTAAAGGGAGGGGCTGAAGATAAGGTAGCAATGTTTGCTTTATATTTTTGGTCTTAACTATGTCAATCTAATTAGAATTCCTTTTACCTAAAATTCTGCCTTTTACTTACTGAAAGGTATCTGAGTGTGGTTTATGTGTAATATCAAATAAAGACTGTTTAACCCTTCTCACACTTTATAGATAATGCATAATGTCAGACTTTTTTAAAAGCTAGTATGACAAGAACTAGTAGCAAGTTAAACTTTGCTTTTTGAATTCTTTACTGTCAGACTAAGTTTTAATTTAACATCATCTTTTTTTTTTTTTTTTTTTTGAGTTGGAGTCTCACTCTGTAACCCAGGCTGGAGTGCAGTGGTATGTTCACAGCTATCACAGCTTTGACCTGCTGGGCTCAGGTGAACTTTCTGCCTCAGCCTTCCAAGTAGCTGGAACTATAGGCATGCGCCACCACACCCAGCTAACTTTTTTATTTATTGTAGAGATGAGGTCTCGCCAAATTGTCCAGCCTGGTCTCAAACTCCTGGGCTCAGGCAAGCCTCTCACCTCCAACTTTCAAGGTGCTTGGATTACAGGTCTGAGCCAGTGTACCCAGCTAAGATTATCTTTAAACAGATATTTAAAATCACATAAAAGCGTAGAACTACTGTGCATATGTAATTGGTAAGGGTGTTTTTGCCAACTCATTAGAAGGATTAAAGTAGAAGAGGCATATGCAAATTTATAACTCATATGTGATCATAAGAGTTAAGAAAATTAAAAACAATATTATAGATCATAACAAAAAGAGGCAGGGAGAAAAGGCAAAACTAAGAAATTAAGGGGAGCTTAAAGTGAAGGGGGTGGGGGAAAAGTAGGAAAATGAGATATCCTGGAAGCCAAATGAAGAAAATATTTCAAATAGTGATAAACGATTAACCGTGTTAATTCTTATTAATGAAATCCTGTAAAGTAGGATCTGAAAATCAACCACTGGTCTAGCAAAACGGAAGTTATTGACCATATTGGTTAGCCGTGCCAACGGAATGGGTGGGCCTAAAAGTCTGACTGAGGGGGATTTGGGAGATAATGGAAGAAGAACTGATGACAGTGAATATCGGAGCCGAAGAGGTAGCAGGGTCAAGAGAGGGTTTGGTTTTGTTTTGGTAAGAGAAAGAACTGCCTATTTGTATTCCGTGGAGAGGGAAACGTTGATGATGCAGGAGAAAGAGGGGGAGAATTTCAGGAGCAACGTTCTTCGTTGGGAAAGAGAGCAGGGAGACATTCACAAATGGACCGACAGGCCTTAGACAGACACACAGATGGTTCATCCGTGGTGTCAGGGAGGCCAACAGAGTTCCTGGGTACAACGCTTGAAGACGGATAGATGTGGTGGTGGAAGTTTGTGGGAGGTTTCTTCCGACTGATATCACCTTTGATTCATTCATCTTCCGCATTCTCTTTCCCGAACCACTCATATATGTCAACGACCAGGCCATGACTATTATAATCACTCATTTTTCTTGTAAATGATTTCTCTTCTTTGTCCTTGTTGTGGTTTCATTCATTTGTTTTTTTTTTTCTTCCCAGGACTATCAACGCAGTTAACCAGCTAGTCTCCCTACTTAGACTTGTTTCCCTGAAATGCATCTTCTAGACTTCTCCCAGAGAGAACTAGCTAAAGCAAATATTTGTTCATGCCAGTGTGTCAGAGGAATGGATAGGAAGCTTTCCATGGGCTACACTCCACCCGGCTAGCTTTCTAGTCTCTTCTCTTGATACTTCGTGACTCATTTTATGCCTCAACAGCATCATACTGTTAGAACTGTACATATTCTTCCTCAGACCATCGCTTTTGCTTAAAAGGCTTACCCAGTGGAATTCACCATTACTCTCCTACTTCTCTCCTCCCCTCCTCTGCCTCCAGCTAGATATTCATTATTTAAGACTCAGTGACTCAGCTCAAATGCAAGCTTTCTGGAAAGTTTCCCAGACCCTCTCTCCCTTCACAGCTGAGTTGAATCCTTTTGAGTTTCAATACCAGCCACCTACACTGTTCCTTTCTATATTCCACTTAGCATATCAGCTCACATGTTTATCTAATTCATCAGACTCTTCAGCTTCTGAGGGTAGAAATCCTGTCCTTTATCTCTGAATTCCCAGTGTATAGCACCGTACGTGGTGCAAAGTAGGCGTTTAGTAATGATTAACCGAACCGGAGTGCACTTTTCTGGTTCTCTCGGAGAGGAGTTTAAGATTCTTTTTTTTAACCTCTGTGTGATTAAGTGCTGCATAAACAAACCAACAAACAAATAAACAAACACAAAAACTAGGCCTCAGAGGGGAAGGAGTGCCTTGGATGCCCAGGAAAAACAGAGCCATAATTAGATATCTAGAAGAAGATCAGAACTAAAGAAGCAAGCAGATTAGCCTGATAGCATAGGGAATTCTGACAGAGGGAGTGTAGGAATATGATTTAAGAGGGAAAGGGCACAGGGAAGAGTCTTAGAAGTATCATGGGTGAGAGGAAGGGGATAGAATATGTTGGCAGAGGCCTTTTGGATTCCAACAGAGAATGTTTTGGAAGCAAAACTAAATCGGAGCACCTGATTCATTACTTCTACACCTCCCCACCATGAGAGGTAGCAGAAATTGTCTGCAGCCTAAGAGGTCCCCAAAAATCTTTGACTCAATGTTAAAAAATGTTTTAGACATAGAAATTTTACTCCCAGCTGTTTATCTTAATGGCATAACTGTACTAGTGTCCAAACAAGTACATAAATGGATATTCACCACAATTTTGTTTATAATAGCAAAACATTTAGAAATATGGGTCATTTATCTCTCTTATTTTTTCAGATTTTGTAGCAAAACATGCAATTTTATCATCATTAACCAAGAATAAAAGAAAAAAGTCCGAGAGGAAAGCAAACAAATAAAACATTCAGTTGAAAAAGCCTTCCTAATGAGCATTTCATATTTTTATTATGAAATATTGTTTTTAAGAATTAAGTTAGGGATAATATTTTTTAAATCTCCTCAATGTGCTTATTGGCAATCTAGTTTCTTTTTTTTCTTTCTTTTTTTTTTTTTTTTGAGTCAGAGTCTCACTGTCACCCAGGCTGGAGTGCAGTGGCACACATACGGTCACTATAGCCTCTACCTGCTGGGCTCAGGTAATCCTTCTGCCTCAGCCTTCCAAGTAGCTGGAACCACAGGCATGCGCCACCACACCTAGCTAATTTTTTGATTTATTGAAGAGATGAGGTTTCGCCAAGTAACCCAGGCTGGTCTTGAACCCCTGAGCTCAGGCAATCCTCTTGCCTCCACCTCCCAAAGTGCTGGGATTTACAGACGTGAGCCACCATGCCTGGTTGGCAATCTAGTTTCTTTCCTCACAAGCTTTTATTTATTATTGACTTGTGGAAAGAGAAGTCATGTCACCTAGGGAAGGGAGGGTAGCTACAGGCAGGGGAGCTGAAAGAAGCTTGGGAAGAGATTTAGAGAGGATTTAGAGATTTAGCTAAGATGCTGCATCCCTAAAAAAGCTCTTCAGCTCTGGAACCCACTTATATTTCAACTGCTAAACTCTAACCTCTCCCAACATGCAGAGACCATGGTTGCCCAGCTTTGTATAACTAGTACTGAAAACTAACTCTCACATATACTGAGTAGTCAGAAATAGTTATTATTAGATGCATGATGAATTAGTCTTGTTCTTATAATTTTCTTTTGCAACTTTCAAAATAAGTTAAACATTTTAATGCGAATATACTTACAATTGAATCAGAGGTTGAAACTTTGCTGTGAAATCAAGTCTCAGTGGGCAGCCATACTCATTCCAATTATACTTTACTTTCTAGAAAAGGAAAAGTGCTTTAGTTACTTGATATATTTGGTGCATTGACAAAATTGTAGTTTTCTTACCAAGTTTTTAGATGGCTGATGCCTCAGATATGACCTGTAAAAAAAAGACATTCTTCATTATTTATTTCTCTTCCCTTTTTTCAAACCTCTTGGGGAACCCCCAACAATTAGAATTATCTTTTGGAGGGTGAGCAGACTCTTACTGCTAGGCAAATGTTCTAGAAACCCATCCCAGGTAGCGTTGTTGTGAGAGGCTGCGTTCAGCTTCAGTGAATTTTTTTTTTTTTTTTGGAGATTTTTTCAGCACATTTGCACATTTCATGATGGGTGATTTAGGCGCGCACCTACACCATGTTGAGTGTCGACTAAAACCGCATGGCTCCTGTGCCCCACCCTCCCTGTTCACCCAATCTCATCCTGAGTGACTTTTTTTTTTTTGTTTCCCTGGATGAGAAAACCCTCAAAGGGAAACATTTTGAAGGTGTGGAAGAGATGAAGCCAAAAATGGCAGAAACATAAAGGCATCAAAATTAATGAGTTCAAAATGTGTTCTGAGCTGTGAAAAAAGTGTCTCCATAGGAGTATTGCATCAAACAGAGAGTACTTTGAAAGTGACTGAAGTTTAAACATGCTAGAATAAACGCACATTTTAAAATAAATAAATTCCATTGTTTTGGGTCCTCCCTCATATAAACTAAAACCATGGCTTGGTTTAGGTAAAGCAATGTCATAAAAGTTAAATAGATAAACATTATTATAAAATACTGAGTGCTTATTATGTTTCAGGCACTTTCTACACATGTTAACACATTCTTATAACAAACAACAAGGTGTAAATTATTGTCCTATCATATCTGCATTTGAAGATATTTTACCATTCTCAGAAATTGTGTGAAACTTGTTCAAGGCTACAAATCTTGCTTCACTACTAAGAAGGATGCGTGATTGTAAAGCCCATGGTCATTGTACTAGTTCACTGCAGTTCTTTCCAGAATATTAATAGATGAGAGAATAAGGTACTTCAGAATTGGTAACAATAGATGTGTATTTTAAATCTTCAACTATCTCCCAATTTAGGTTTCTTGCAATAGTGGAATCGCTCCTCTTCATGAACTCAAGGGTTTAGTCCTTCACAATCACTCTCCCTCTCTTATTTCCTTTCTTGCCAATCCTCAAACTTGAATCACCATCACCAGTCACAGGCAACAGACTCAAGAAATTTCTGTACAGTGGATAGAGCCTATTTCATATTCTTACTCTTCAGGCCCAGCTGCCTCACAGACACTAAAAGATGGTGCCCTTACTAACTATTAAATGTTTTCTTTTCACTCATTCTATTTTACCTACTGTCTTTACTAAGCATTGCAGTCTGAAGTATTCAGGCTTTCCTATCCCTCTATCCTGTCTTAAAGTTGAGTAAAATCACTTAAGGGATATACTTCGTGATTAAATATCCTTTCATTTATTTTAATTACATAGAAATAGAAAATTTCACAGCTTTTCAAAGGCCTTTAATATATTTCAGAGGTTATGTACATCTATACATTTGAAATCTTAATATATTTTAAAAATTATTATTTTTTGACTCAGGATCTCATTCTGTTGCCCAGTCTGGAGTGCAGTGGCATGATCACTCAAGTGATTGCTCAGGCGATCCTTCCACTTCAGCCTCCTAAGTAGCTGGGACTACAGGCATGCACCACCTCACCTGGCTAATTTTTTGATTTTTTTTATAGAGACGAAGTCTCCCGATGTTGCCCAGGCTGGTCTTGAGCTCCTGGGCTCAAGTAATCCCATCTTGACCTTCCAAAAGGCTGGGATTACAGGTATACACAGTGCCTGGTCTACATTTTTGTAATAAAGATCTTTATCTTACAAAGGCAGAAGCCCCGTTTTAGTTATGTCTTTAATAAATCACCCTATTAAGAATAAATATGAATAAAATTAAAAAGAAAAAATTGAAAAAAGTTCAGTTAGTAGACTATTGATGTCAGGACTTTCTTGATAAATTCATAATTTCTAACTAGCTTAACCATAGTCATGTAGAATTTGAGAAAAATTATGTAGGAAAAAATTCTTGTACGTCTTCCTTAATTAGAGGGAACAATATGGGATCTGAGGCCACATGTACGTAAATGAGACTTGTTCTGTTTATCCAATTAAGTTAAAGGGGGACTATGACTTTTTCTCTTGCCATGTTCCAGAAAAGTTCATTGTTGTGTCTGCATAATTTAAGTAATGCTAAAACTGACTGCACAGTGATAAGCCAAACATATGCTAACAGGAATTCAATGAATAAGAACCGATTGTAAATTATTGGTACTATATTAATATAAAACTCAGGGTTTATATTAAAAATTTCTTACTTTTCAATCACGTAAGAAAAGTCATGGCGAAAACATCCTTTCTTACTAAATCTACAAAAAAAAAGTTGTAACGTCATCATTCCTTATATATTTGCACAAATGTTTAATCATTTAACTCAGTGATTCTCAAATAGATACAGTATCATAGAATTATCATTTATTGAATTAGAATCTCTAGGGTTAGTGTGTGGCCCTAGCAGTTCTATTTTTAAAAATATTAGTTTCACAATGTTTTAGAAGACACCAGAATTTCAAAAGATACACAATTTCAATTAGACAGGAGGAATTCATTCAGGAGATCTATTGTACAACATGGTGACTATAGTTTAGAATATACTGTCTTCTTGAAAACTGAGAGTGGCCGGGCTCGGTGGCTCAGCCTGTAATCCCGCGCCTCTGGGAGGCTGAGGTGAGTGGATTGCCTGAGCCCGCGGGTTCGAGACCCGCCTGGGCAACTTGGGGAGACCTCATCTCTACCATAAATCAAAAATTAGCCGGGCATGGTAGCACGTGCCTGTAGTTCCAGCTACTTGGAAGGCTGAGGCGGAAGGATCGCCGGAGCCCAGCAGGTCGAGGCTGCGGTGGCCGGGAGCGGCCACTGCACTCCAGTCTGGGCGACCGAGTGAGACTCCAACTCAAAAAAAAAACAAACAAAAAAAAACTGAAAGTGGATGTAAAGTGTTCTTACCACACAAGTGATAACTACAGGAGGTAATGCATGTGATAATTAGCTAGATTTAGTCATTCCACAATGTATTTTATTTTTTATTTTTTTATTTTTTGAGTTGGAGTCTCACTCTGTCGCCCAGGCTAGAGGGCAGTGGCACACTCTCAACCACCACAACCTTGACCTGCTGGGCTCCGGCAATCCTTCCACCTCAGCCTTCCAAGTAGCTGGAACTACAGGTGTGCGCTACCACGCCCGGCTAATTTTTAATTTATTTATTGTAGAGATGAGGTCTCGCCAAGTTGCCCAGGCGGATCTCGAACCTGCGGGCTCAGGCAATCCACTCACCTCGGCCTCCCAAAGCGTGGGATTACAGGCTGAGCCACTGAGCCCGGCTTCCACAATGTATTTTAAAACATCATGTCGCACAAGAGTAAACATACACGATTTTATCTGTCAATTTAAAACAGAAACCAGAAAGTAACAGATGTTGACAAGGATGGGGAGAAACTAGAACCCATACGCAGTTGGCAAAGTACAGTGGGACAGGCACCATGAAGAACAGTTGGATGGTTCTTCCAACAAGTTAAACATAGAATTACCACATGACCCAGCAGTTCCACTCTTAGGTACATACCCCCAAATTAGTGAAAACAGATGTTCAAAAACTTGTATACAAGTATTTATAGCTGCACTATTTGGAAGAGCCAGAAGGTGGAAACATCACAGAGATTCATGAACTGAAGAATGGATAAACAAAAGGTGGTATATCCATATAATGGAATACTACTCAGCCATTAAAGGGAATGAAGTACTGATACATGCCACAACATGGGTAAACCTCAAACACATGCTAAGTGAAGGAAACCAGGCATGAAAGGTCATATATTGTATGAGTCCATTTATATGAAATGTCCAGAATAGGCAAATTGATAGAGATAGCAAGTTAGTGGTTTCCAGGGGCTAGGGAAAAGGGAGAATGGAGAGGATATAGGGTTTCCTTTTGGGGTGGTGAAAGTATTTTGGATCTAGAGAGTGGTGCTAGCTGCACAGCATCGTGAAGGTACTTAATGCAACTGAACTGTACGCTTTAAAATGGTAAATTTATATTATGTAAATTTCAGAATTTTAAAAAAGTTACCACCCCCCCTACACACACACATGCACACACACAAATAAAAATTAAAACTCAGAAAATCAGGCAACGCTCTCGGGTCCCCTCCTGCTCTGGTAGCTTTTTTGTCTTCTCAATAAATCCTGCTTTAAAACAAAAATAAAGCAGGGCAAAAACTCAGAAAATCTATCAAAATGAAGACACTTTTCTCGGGACTGTTTTATTCCACATAAACCTTTTTTTGTTTTTTGTTTTAACACAAGATTTCTAGCTGCTACTAGAGACTCAATTGTACAGGTAGAGAGCTATTTTGAGGACTCACATAATTTCTGGTTAGGATTCATGCAGATGAAAGGATATAATGGTCTATGAAATTATATAGTTTTTAGTTAGGTTATTCATTTGACCATTTGAGCTGGCTGTTCCTTGTGTAATTTAGAAGGAACCCTTATCACCATCATTTTTGGACAGATATTGACCATCTCCCGCTTTGAACCAAAATTGGAACCAAGAGATGACAACTCTCCTTCATTGACAATTCTCCTGGCTCTCCCAAAATACCTTGGACTCAGTACTGTACCAGGTCTCACTTGATGACTGTAAAGTCCATAGGCCCACTGCAACCTGAGACCAAGATATTAAAGTTGTTTTCTGGGATCTGAATCAGTGGCTGATTGACTAAGAGGCCCAGAGTAAGGTTCTGAACATACTCTCCAGGTGATTCTGATGACCAAATAAGTTGGACAACTTATTTCTATCTGGACACCCCCAGAAATAGATTCAATAGTTCAAGATGCTTTGCATCTCACTTTGAAAGGAAACTAAAGGCCTGAGAAGGAATTCTGTTATGTGCTGGTACTGAGAATTGTTTTGGAAACATGTTGCTTATAGTAGTTATTCTCAAATAATGCTTCTGGTAAGCTCCCAGAAATTTTGTTAACATGCAATTTCTGATTCAGCAGGTGTGGGATGAGGACCGAGATTCTGCATTCTAGCACATTCCCAGGTGATGCCAGCACTGGTGCAGAGACCATACTCTGAGGAACAAAGATGTAAATCATTCCTGAAATAGGATGGCACAGACTATATAAATCAGTTAGGCTTTTTGTGTTTCCTGGAAAAGGAATTATGGGTGCGAAGGTGTTAAGAAATACAAATTTAGGAAGTGCTGAATGAGATGCAAATATATAATTATCAATCTAGCAACTGATTATTGACTTCAGCAATAATATATTTTTAGAATGGCAGAGGAGTAGACATTAGTTTTAGATGAGAGCAAGTCATTTCATAAATACTTAGCTAAGAGTCAATGTTTTCTCACTCTCACCCCCACTCCTAACCAAGGGCAAGGAAACACAACAAATTACTGTCTCCATTATACATTTAGCCTCTGCTAAACACATCTGTGTATGCTGCCCTTGATTTTCTCTGGTGTAAAAGAAAGAGAGTTATGGCTAATGGAAGACACAAACTCCAGTGTGCTTCATTGTGAACCATAGTGAGATCAATCAAATTCACACCTTGAGATTCTCTGGAGGAATCTCCGGTGGTTCTGTTAGGCCTACTCTAAGGAATTTCCCATAGAAAATGGTGCAGAAAATTGAGGCATCTCTGATATGGCTGTAAGCAATTCTCTGATGGAAAGGAATTAAAACTGGTTGAGTAGGATGGAAAACAGAGTTAAGTGTTTCTCCATCTCATTTTGCTGGAAATGAGCTGTAGACTGAAGGGCTGAGAGGTAATGGGAAGGATAAGAACTGACTTATTAAAGGGAAGGCAAAGAAAAATGCCAGTAATAAGAGAAAGAGGTTAATTATTTTCACTTTTAGTGTGATTCAAATGTAGTGTTGACTTGGCAAAAAGTTTGAACCAATTGAAACTGGTCAATGTCAATTCGATTTTGCGTTTCATCGTGGATGGGTCAGTCATCAGGCTAATAGTATCACTAGTAATTATCATTTAGTTTACCATTTGTTCTAAAAACTTAAAGAGTAAGACAGGTCAAATGAAAATATACTTACCCTTTAACTGCAATGAATTTTTTAGCATCACAGCCAACAGCTATTTGGAACACCTAAAATGAAGTCATTAGGTAGTGAGTTCAGTGATTCCGATTCACATTATCTAAAATATTAGACAGCTAAAACCAATTACATTTTTAGATTTAAAAGAATAACTTTTAAAATGCAGATTTCTGTTATACAACTGCTCTGTGCTGTTCTCATTCTTCTTCTTTGATCACTTTTGTTTGTTTGTTTCCTTTTGTCTTTACTGTTCATGGGGCTCAAAGGTTTGGTGTTTTCTTATGTCAGAATCTCAGAAATCATTCCAACCTCATCTTTTTGCCTGCACCTCTCCAACCATGGCTACCCACTCCATACTTCCAACTTGCACCTCTCACTCAGTTGGCAGGTTTTTATAAATATCTAGCTACTAATATGACACCTCCCCTTTAGTAGACCAGTAATTTATCATGGTATTTAGTAGCGTTATGTAAAACAGCATTTTACTCTTGTTATTCCTGCTGTAAGCAGCACTACTCTATATTCACAGGTTCCCTGGCAATCGGTCAATTACTGTTCAACTCCTGTCTCAGTCCTACGGATAGTAATTTTAAACATTACTCATAACTGGTTTTTAAAGAAATGTACATCTATGCTTTATTTGAAAAGCAACTACCTGTGGATACTACAGCATAACAGGCAAGAAGTTAGAAATTAGCCTACCATGTCAGCCATAGGACTGTGAGATGCTCAGTTAACACAGCCCATACTTCTCTGTAAGTAAACTTTGAGTTATATTGGAGAAAGCATGTGAAAAATCCAACAGCAGCATCCCATAGATAGGCTGTGCCATGATGCCTTATTTCATGGGCTGGAAATGCCCAAGAGAGGCATTTGATATGGAAAAGGCTAACATTCAAATAAGCAAATAAACTCCCACTAAAGTCTGATGCCCTAAGTAGATTGCATTTGCCCCTAAATACACTTCTACTATTAGTAGCAATATTTTCCATCTGCCTCACAGTCTTTGACACCCACTGTCACTATTCTTTGCTTTCCTATCAAATATGTTTAGAAACAACAGCCTCCTCTTTGTCTATACTAAATTATCCATGTAACACAGCGTTGGCAGAGGTCCTCAGATCTATCATAGTCACAACCCATCATTATTTGATGATCTCATTTGTAGTGTGTCTTCTCTTCCTAGTTGTAGTTGACAAAAATCGCCCCAAGCCTCAGAATCAAAAACAATGGTTAGGATTAAAAATATGAGTTGAACTATAGGTGCGTATTGGAAAGGAGTAGAAGGTGCAGAGTATGGGAAGTGTGAATAAGCCTGCTTCCTGAAGTATCCATGGCTGCAGTGTTGACAAATGTTCCCTGGGGCAGGGCACCTAATTAAACAAATTCTGACATATAGCCTAAATGAAAACATGTATCCTCAGTGAGAGACAGGGCAGGACAGCTCCTGTCTTAGCTGAGAGTCTGACACTGCAAAACTCCCTCTAACTGGACAGGCTGACTGATCTGAGACAGGAATTCTAAAGGCCTTCAACACACATGCTGGTAGATAATGTATTACCCAGAGTTATAGTCAGCTCTCCCTGGGAAAATTCATCTTGGAAATTACTGAGGCCTTCTGGGGACTGGCCTACATTTCTGCATTTCCAGTACTGGGTACAAGGTTAAAAAGTGAGATACAGAGCCGGGTGCAATGGCTCACGCTTGTAATTCCAGTACTTTGGGAGGCAGAGGCAAGAGAATTACCTGAGCTCAGGGGTTCGGGACCAGCTTGAGCAAAAAGGCAAGACCTCGTCTCCACAACAAATAAAAAAAATCAGCCGGACTTGGTGGCACATGCCTGTGGTTCCAGTTACTTGGAAGGTTGAGGCATAAGGATCGCCTGAGCCCAGCAGGTCGAGGCTGCAGTGGCTGTGAGCATGCTACTGCACTCCAGCCTGGGCGGCAGAGTGAGACTCTGACTAAAAAAAAAAAAAAAAAGTGAGATACACCCTTGTTGGAACTGACAGTTCTATTTGCTGCTCAGCTACAAGCTATGAAGATTAAGTGACAAAGACAGCAGGTTCCTATTCAAATAGGGCAGTCCATGTTTATTTGGTCCAGCGGGTTTAGCAAGGACCTAGCACCCTACAATGAGAGGAGTCTGTAAGTCATGGTTCTGTGTACATACGGAACTGGGCCCTGTGTCTCTACAATATTTATCTGGGAGGCTGATGACTTATTTATTCATGATTATGGGAGCACAAAGAAGGGATCCTGTGGTTGAAAGCACATCGTGAAGTTGTGTACAGGTTTTCATTTCCTGGGTTAATTAGAGGACCTGCCTCATACAAGACTGCATTTTGCTGTTACCTAAAAGGGCTACTACATATTTCTGTGTTCTATCTCAGTGGGTGAGTCAAAACTACCTGCAGCAGGCCCAGAGAGTGGTTAGATCTGAACTGTCCTTGTCTGCAGGGTGCCAAAGAGGAAACGGAAGGAAGAAACCAATAATATTAGATAATTACTATGTGGCAGGCACTGTTTTGGGTACTTTACACCCATGATCTCATGTAATGCTCTCAATAACCCCATAAGATGGATGTTACATTTCCCTTTTTACAAACGAGACAGCTGAGACTCCGAGTGTTTAAGCAGCTTGCCCACCAAGCCAGTAGGTGAGAGAGCTTGGGTCTGAACTCAGGTGAGACGCACCTGTTTTTATAATGCCTTGGCTGGGCAGGAGAGAGTGAATAGGGATCCCTAACAAATCTATAAGTTAGACAGGTATGAGGAAACAACTGTGCTTCAGGAAGGCATCCGTAAAGGAAAGGGTCAAGCAATTAAACATAGGAAAACATAGACCTAGCCTAGGGCAGGAAATGGCGAGGTTGCAGGGCTTTGCTTTCTACGCAGATTTGAGCCGGTGGGTAGCATGGTAGGCAGACAGGGGAGTTGGTATGCAGCTGCAGACAATTTCCTGGGGAAGCAGTGTGTGTCAGCAGTGCTCAAGGATGGACTGTGTATGCCCCAGTTCAAGCCTCTTTCTAAATATATGAAACCCTGCCTAGGTAGGAACAGGTTCCTTGTGCTTGTGTTCTGAAGGGGAAAGACCAAGTCTTATTTCACTTTGTGTTCCCATGTATAACATAATTCCTGGTATACAGTAGGTGCTCAATGTTTTTTGAGTGTTAGTTAGGCTGAGAGGTATTAAAAAGAGGAGGAAAGTGTGGAGCGTAGACTCAAAGGAGGTGAGAATGTGAAGAATTTGAGTTTAAGTTTAAGTTCCTAATACTCATGCTTACCTGAAGACTGAATGCTGTTTCACACCTCTGTGCTTTGGTCTGTTCCTTTTCCTGGAATTCCCTTTGCATCTGCCTGCAGAATTTCTACTTATCCTTCAATAGTCATTTTATGGATCCCTTTCATTTCACCTTTTCCCTCCCAATCAAAATTACTCGTTCTTTCTTCTGGGCTATTTGATAACTGGGTACACCACATTCTCTTAAGCTAGTTTAAGTTTACCTCTAGGGGATGTGCTCTGTGTTTTCATCTATGTAACTCTCATTACCTAGCACATAGACTGAAACAGAAACTTGGTAGGCATGCAATACATTTTTTGAACGAATAAATGATTTTTGAGTGAATAAATGCCTGGCATTTATGGATGTGACTGACAGTCTCCTTTGGCCAAACCACATCTAATTAGTTGTTCCCATTAAATTCCATTTTCCTTTTCACAGTTTTATTTATCGTCAAAAACTAACAGTTTTACATTTTGTATATGTTTGTATATCCCACTTTAGTTGATAAATGCACAGAAGGCAGCAATCTTATCTTCTGTCTTCAAAATGAAATAATGCTATCATTACAGTGAAACATTATACAATGTTGCTAATTATGAGGGGAGTGGTATTGTATGGTGGTAATATAAATGATTTAGTTTATCATCTGAGCATTTTTTTCTTTTTTTTTTGAGTTGGAGTCTCACTCTGTCGCCCAGGCTGGAGGGCAGTGGCATGCTCCCGGCCACCGCAGCCTCGACCTGCTGGGCTCTGGTGATCCTTCCGCCTCAGGCTTCCAAGTAGCTGGAACTATAGGCGCACGCTACCATGCCCGGCTAGTTTTTGATTTATTGTAGAGATGAGGGCTCGCCAAGTTGCCAGGGCGGGTCTTGAACCCGCGGACTCAGGCAATTCACTCACCTCAGCCTCCCAAAGCACGGAATTGCAGGCTGAGCCACCGAGCCCGGCTGCATTTTTTTTTTTTTTTTGAGATGGAATCTCACTCTGTCGCCTAGACTGGAGTGCAGTGGCACACTCATGGCCACCACGCCTCGACCTGCTTGGCTCAGGGGATCTTTCTGCCTCAGCCTTCCAAGTAACTGAAACTACAGGTACGTACTACCACTCCCAGCTTTTTAAAAAAAATTTATTTTAGAGATGAGGTTTCACCAAATTGCCCAGGCTGGTCTCGAACCCCTGAGCTCAGGCAATATTCTCACCTCGGCCTCTCGAAGTGCTGGGATTACAGGCTTGAGCCACCGTGCCCGGCCCTCTGATTTGCGCATTTTTGAAGTAATTAATTGATCTCCAACCCACACTACTTACCCTTTGGGCTATTGGACATCTTCTTGAATATGCACTAGGTCGAAACTGGACAAGTACAAGTCCTGTGTTCTGGTCTCTAGGCAAAACAATCCATATAGGTTATTATAGAATCATGAGAGAGGTAGGTATGACTTTGCCTTTTTGTTTTTATTGTTTTTATTGTTTTTTTTTTTTGAGTTGGAGTCTCACTCTGTCACCCAGACTGGAGTGCAGTGGCTGCTCCCGGCCACCGCAGCCTCGACCTGCTGGGCTCTGGCGATCCTTCCGCCTCAGCCTTCTGAGTAGCTGGAATTACAGATGCGCGCAACCACGCCCGGCTCATTTTTGATTTACTGTAGAGATGAGGTCTCGCCAACTTCCCCAGGCAGGTCTCGAACCCGCGGGCTCAGGCAATCCACTCATCTCAGCCTCCCAAAGGCGCGGGATTACAGGCTGAGCCACCGAGCCCGGCTGACTTTGCCTTTTTGTAGAGCAAATGAAAAGTCCCACGTGTACTATGTGATTGAGCCCCCATGAGAAATTCTAGAGGCCTGGAGGGTGGCGCTGGTGGTTACTGTTCACTGCTTCTGCTAAGGCAGCTCTGCATTGTGGTCATATTGTAAAGTTGCTTCCACCTTATGGTGTCCCATATTTTGGCCACCATAGGATTAGCACAATAAGAAACAGAAATGAGCATCCTTTCAGCATTTCAACTACCCTGTTTCATTAACACCCTCAGTCCCCTAACAATGGAGTTCTGTTACTGACATGTTGAACTGCCTGCTTCCTGATGATATTATAAGGCAGTGGCTTTCTTAAGCCCTCACAGATTTCCCCCTTCTATTGATAACACCTTTGGAACAGTAAAGAGTAAGTTGTAAAATTAGTTTTCTGAACCACATTAAGCAGCATAATATGATCTGATTGGAATTGAAAAGCAGGTCAGTGTCTTTTAGATAAAAAACAAGTTAAGATGGCAGATTAAAGGCTTTCAGCATGCTTCCCTTGCCTGAACATAGCAAAACAGTATGGAAAGCACAATGAGCCTCAGTTCAAGAAGGAAAATGGATATTCATCAGAATGGCAAAGGATTCCCAAACTCCCAGGGAGAAAAAGGTGGGCAAACAGCCCCCCACGATGGTGCCCAGCAGAGAAAAAACAGCTCTCTGCCAGAGACAACTAAGAGCTTCCTTCAGTAAACAAGGATCAAGTAAATACCCATCCATAACAGTAACCATATGAATACCTCAACACGAAATTCCAGGTTTGGTTGCTTAGTTACTATGTACCTTATTCTAGACATCAAAGATGGTATTTTTATCTGATTCTACTCACAGTTAAAGACTTTTTGTGAAATAAGAGTTATTGTTTTTGCTATTGATAGTATGTAGAAACTCTGAGATGGGAATTAGTGATAAGTTATTCTTTAAATTGCTCAATTAAGAAATAGTCCATTTAAAAAATATCTTTATTTGGATGAATGAGAAACCCTCAGATAGGTCATGTTTCCATTAAACTACAAAGAATGTTTTACATTTTATATAGTTAAATACTAATTTGACATCTATCTAGACATTTAAAGAAATCTGAATATTTAAAATGACATGAAGCCATTTAAATAAAAGAATACCTATAAATCAGTAACCTGAGTAGCATATTTCATACTGAGTTTTTTAAAAAAGTCATACTTACTGCAACTTGAAGTAATCATCTACTCCCTCATAATTTATACTCTGAAAAAATGTTAGTATCTGAAAAAGAAAAAGAGTTTATGTAAAGCAGAAGACTTGGGAGTGGTGATCCCACTTTAGTAGCATTTGACTGTCAACACCTAGACAAATCAAATGCTTTCATTTAGATATGAAATGGTTTTGATCACTTGTATGTGATCAGCAAGATTGATCGGTGGATAGATAGAGGCATAGATATGTAATAAATTAAATATAATAGTATATATAATATAATATTATATATTATTTAATATAATCATATAATACAATAAATATAATAAAATGTTAATCTAGGTAGTGGGTATAGAGGTGCTAAATATACAGTTATTTCAAACTTTGTGTGTTTGAAATGTTTCATAATAAAATGTTGCAGAATTATAATATAAATTGGATTTACAGCCTCACCAAGAATCTCTCACATACAAGTTAGTTATTCTACCTGATAGGAATATTTATATGTGCTTAATAGGAGGCATATACTAAAATATTCATTATAATATAATTCAGAATAACCCCCAAATAGAAACAAACCAATGGTTCTCTTATCAAAATGGATAAGTATATCTAGTAGTACAGTTATACAGAGGACTACTATAGAACAGTGAATATGAATGACTGAGGAAACAATACATGGGGAAACAATATAGAATTTCACAATCATAATATTCAAAGAAAAAAGCAATACTAAAATATATATGTATCACTCATTCATGTGTGTGTATAATATACATGCAATGATTTCATTAATATGGAGTTCAGAAATAGACAAAGCTAAGCTGTATTATTTAGTGATGCATATGTAGATGATGAAACTATCAAGAAAAATAAGAAAATTATTACCACAAAAGTCAGATTGGTTTTCAGCTTTTGGAAGAGGGAAAAGATTACAATCAGGAAGGCTAAAAGGGGTCTTTGGTTACTCTTAATATTCTATTTTTTTTAACTTGAATTCTGTTTACATGGGTGTTTGGTTTATAATAATTTGCTAAATTATGCATAGATGTTTTATTTACTTTTGTATATGGGTGTTATGTTCATTAAAAAAAAGAATGATTAGCTAGGATGCTTAGTATCATACTAGTCAATAATTAGTCTGTGAAGTTATAGTGACCCCATCTGCATTATATAAGCAGGGTGCTATAGTAGTACTATTGTAAGTCATCAAACCTAAAGTGTCATAGGATGTGAGATTCATCAATTTTAGAGATATTAAATTTTTTTAAAAGTTGCTTTAAAATCGATGAAATATGATAATGATAGTGATACTACTACTAGTAGTAATAATAGTAGTAGTAATAGTGGTAGTCGTTGCAGCAGTGCATTCATATGGTGCTTATTATGTGCCAGGTGCTTTTCTAAGTCCTTAACATAAGGGGGTGCCAAAAAAATGTATACACATTTTAAGTATGACGTTGACTCAAAAGATGGCATTAATCAAATGAATGCTAGCATCACCTTGCAACAGGCAGGCTAGTCAAAGAAAATGATGGAAACATGGTTGAGCAAAGGTTATACTACACATTGCTACCATAATTCAATTCAACTTCGAAAAGTAATACACAGATAACATGTCTTAAAATGTCTATACATTTTTTGGCACCCCATATATGAATTCATTTAATCCTTGTGAAAACCTTATGAAGTAGACACTATTATTACCATTACTATCCCCAATTTACAGATGAGAGAATTGGGGCACAGAGATTTAAAAACTTTGCTTATTCATCAAGTAGTAAATGACAGAGTCAGTATTTTGTTAGAAATGCAGGTTTTGATGTGTCATTGTCATTGGTCATTTTTATATTTTTGATGGATAACTAGTATTTTGAGAGGCTGAATTGCAAATGGAAAAATGTATTTAAAAGCTGCTTATTCATCAAGTAGTAAATGACAGAGTCAGTATTTTGTTAGATTGATGTGTCATTGTCATTGGTCATTTTTTTCATTTTGATGGCTAACTGGTATTTTGAGAGACTGAATTGCAAATGGACAAATGTACAGTTGACCCTTGAACAATATAGGTTTGAATTGTGTGGGTCCACTTGTATGTGGATTTTTTCAATAAGTATTGAAATGTTTTTGGAGATTTCCAACAATTTAAAAAGACTCACAGATGAATCATGTAACCTAGAAATATTGAAAAATTTGAAAAGAACTTAGTATATCATGAATACATAAAATATATGTAAATACTAGCCTTTTATCATTTACTACCATAAAATATATACAAATCTATTATAGAAGTTAAAATTTATCAAGACTTACACAAGCACAGACAATTTATAATACCATTTGCAGTTGAGAGAAATATAAATAAATGTAATGATGCAGTATTATATCCTAATAGCATAAAATTAACTGTAGTACATACTGTACTACTCTGATAATTTCATAGCCACCTCCTGTGGCTATTGTGGTAAGCTCAAGTGTTGTTGTTACAGCCTCTTGGGTTTTTCTACCCACTGCCCAAAAAAGCCAGTACACTGAGACAGCAGTCATTGCAGTAGAGACAGAGTATAATAATTGCAAGGCAGCCAAGTAGAAGGATAAGAGAATAGTTCTAAAATCCGTCTCCCTGAGAACTCAGAGGCTAGGGCTTTTAAGGGTAATTTGGTCGGCAGGGGGTTAGGGAATTAGGACTGCTGATTTTTTGAGAATGAAATCATGGAGATGCCAAGATTGTGTTCATATGCTAAGTCAGCTTCTGGGTGGTGGTCACAGGTCACTGGTAGGTTAGTATCAGATGGTCTACCAGAGTCTGAAATATATCTCAAACACCAGTCTTATTTTTAATAGTGATGTTGTAGGAACAATTGGGGAAGTTATATATCTTATGACCACCAACTATGTGATTCCTGAACAATAAGCAATTAGGAAGGCATGCTAGGAAACCTTGGTTGATTACTGTTTAACTAAGCCTGTACCTTAGCAGAGTTCAGTATCAAGGAGGCCAGCATGGCCTAAGGATCTCAGAAGACCTGCATGAGAAATAAGTTCACCAATCTTATGCCTATATCCTATCACAATTTGGGACCCCATTACAATTCTAACCTTGTGGACTTTTATTAATTTTATGAAGGTGATTTCGTTATATATGCTTAAAACACCATGTGACATTAGTCATCATTTAGGCAGTTTGTCTCTCCAGTAAGTTGTGTATCACCGAAACATATGATCTCACTTGTCATGTTTTTCATCATGTTTGGTGCAATACCATAAACCTTAAATAACACCATGGGACCCATACAAAGATGCCACTGGTAATGCTTGGAAGTGCTCCCACAAAACAGAGAGAAATCATGACATGATAAGAAAAGATTGCATTGCCTGATATGTACTGTAGATTGAGATCTGCAGCTGTGGTTGCTGCCATTTCAGACAGATGATTTGTCTTGTAAACACATGACATAAAATTACGGTTATTTTCCTTATGGTTTTCTCAATTGCATTTTCTTTTCTCTAGCTTAATTTATTGTAAGACTACATTATAAAATACTCACAACATATAAAATATGTGTTAATGGGCTGATTAGCAAGTCAAAAGTTCTATACAGATTTACTGCACAGAGGTTGCTGCTTCAATGTCTACATTGTTCAAAGGTCAACAGTACATTATACATCCAATTCTAATGGTAAGAAAACTATGAGTCAAATATGTTCTTTTTTTCTTGGCACACAATCAATCTAGGCTTATTTCACTTTTCATATTTTACTTTCTATAGCTGCTTCCATAATTTCCTTTTCATATGGCTTCCACAGTAGGCAGTCATATCATATATCAAACAAGTATGTTGGTATCCTTGAAAACTATACCTTTGGGTGTCTTTATATCCTTGAAGAATGTATAATGCTTTTTTAATTGCTTCTTATTTGTGTGTATGTGTTTGTAATATTCATAAATGTTATTATACTGATAGTGCTATGGTCTGAATGTTTGTATTCCTCTAAAATTTACATGTTAAAACCTAATCACCAATATGGTGGCATTAAGAGTTGGAACCTTCTGGGAGGTGATTATGTAATGAGGGCAGAGTCTCATTAATGGGATTAGTTCACTTATAAAAGAGGCATCAGAGAGATGCCTTGCCCTTTCTGTCATGCGAGGACACAGTAAAAAAAAAATGAATCCTCACCAGACACTGAGTCTGCTGACTTCTTGATCTTGGATTTCCCAGCCTCCAGAACTGTGAGAAATAAATTTTGGTTTAAGCTATTTTTGTTTAGGCAGCCCACATGAACTAAGCTAGATTTCAAATAGTTTCTTATAGTTTTCATTCAACACTATGTTTTAACACCTATCCATGAGACTGTACATAAATCTAAATCAGTTTTGTTTCAAAAACTTATTTATTCCAGATTATGTTATTATGATCGTCATTAAGTACTTAAGTATAATATTATTATAGATTGATGAAATGAGTGTAAAATGAAAGTAGAGTTACTGTTTCTTTGAGAACTAAGTTGATGTCTTTGGAAATTTCTTTCTTTTTTATTTTAAAGATGTGGGGTACCCATCAGGATTGGGTACATAAGGGATCTATATACAGGTGAAGTTTGGGAAATTGCTAGATTAGGTATGAGCAAGATAACTAAAAGACTGAAAAAAATTATAAAAACCTAGAACTTCGGTTGCTTTTTAAGTTTTTTTTTCTTTATCTCAAAGAAGCTGAAATAGGCACTCAAAGATAATGCGTTATGAGCAAGGAGATGAGGAACCACAATAAATGCACTTATTTTAAAGAAAAGGCTTTAGTCCTGCATTAAAAGATTAACTAGTGAATGAACATTTATTTAAGTTAAAGTAAAATGTTTCACATATATTAGCTGCACTTTTTAAGATTCTCTGCTTTAGCTGACTTTGGAATTAACTGAGCACTTCTGTTCCATTGTATCAGATAGGAGGCCCACTAGTATGCGAGGGGGAAACCCCTTAAAATGGAATTTATTTATAAAAAATTGTGTATCTATTCTTACATGTTTTAACTTTGCTCACCTTCAAAGTACTCTCCATTTGATGCAATACACCTATTGAGATGCTTTTTCCACTATCCAAAACAGTTTGAACTTGTCAATTTTGGTACCTTTTAGTGCTTCTGCTGTTTTTTGTTTCACCTCTTCCACATCAGGGGGACTTTTTTCATCAGGGGAGACAAAAAGAAATTTTGCCTGGGGCAAGATCAGCTGAATAGGGAGGGTGGGGCAGAGAGGTCATGCCAGTTTTGGTCAAAAACTGCTGAACACTCAACGTGGTGTGGACAGGTGCAATTGTAAATCACCCATCATGAAATGGGCAAATGCACTGAAAGAATCTCCAAAAAAAAAAATCACTGAAGCTGAACACATTCTCTCAAAACAATGCTAGCTGGTACACCGATGCTAATAGGTTCCTAGAACACTCACCTAGAGGAGGAAGACTGTACTATAAGGGCCCACCCCCCAAAAAATAATTCCATTTTTTTGGGTCCCCCTCTCATATATGCTTAAGGACACTGAGCCTAGAATGGGAAGGTGAGGGATGAAAACTGCCACTTGGGTTCTACTCAAGAAGAAATTAAAGTAACATGTAAAATGCTCATGTTATGATATTCATTGGAAAAGCACTATACCAAATAATACGTAATGTATATTTATACCTATTCAGTCAGTAGAATGTGGCCAAATCTAGGCCTCAACAGGCTTTATAGCTTTTGCTCTCCCCATCTTGGAACACTGCCCTGAGACTACCACGTGAAGAAGCTGGAGCTAGTCTGGAGGAGAAGAGTTCACATGGAGTAGAGACAAGGGGTCCAGTTGAGGCCCCTTAGATGATAAGACTATCTTAGATCCCCTAGTCATCGATGAATTATCAGATGACCACAGCCACATGAATGAACCCGTATGAAAGAGCAGAATGGCCCAGCTATTCAGAGCCCAAATTGTTGACCCGTCGAACTGGTTCTTGTTTAAAGCAATTAGGTTTGAGGTGGTTTGTTATACTGTAATAGATAGCAGAAGTCTACAGAAAAGCCATTCATTGAGCTGGGTGCTGTGGCTCCTGCCTAGAATCCCAGCACTTTGGGAGGCTGAGGCAAGAGGATTGCCTGAGCCCATGTGTTCGAGACCAGCCTGGGCAACATGGTGAGACCTTGTCTCTACAATAAATCAAAAAATTAGTGGGGTATGGAAGTGCATGCCTGTAGTTCCAGCTACTTGGAAGGCTGAGGTGGAAGGATGGAGTCCAGCAAGTAGACACTGGGGTGGCTGTGAGCATGCCATTGCACTTCAGCTTGGGCGACAGAGTGAGACTCCGATTCAAAAAAAAAAAAAAAAGGCCAGGCTCAGTGGCTCAGCCTGTAATCCCAGCACTTTGGGAGGCCAAGGCGAGTGGATTGCCTGAGCCCGAGGGTTTGAGACCCATCTGGGCAACTTGGTGAGACCTCGTCTCTACAATAAATCAAAAATTAGCCGGGCGTCGTGGTGGTGCGCGCCCATAGTTCCAGCTCCTTGGAAGGCTGAGGCGGAAGGATTGCTGGAGCCCAGCAGGTTGAGGCTGCGGTGGCCGGGAGTGTGCCATTGCACTCCAGTCTGGGCGACAGGGTGAGACTCCAACTCAAAAAAAAAGAAAGAAAGAAAGAAAGAAAGAAAGAAAAGTCATGCATTAAAGGGGGAGAAAAAAAGGAAGTGAACAAAACAATCAACAGTTACCAAGTTTTGAAGAAATGTGTTTTTAGATGGCAAAGAGACCTTGAATAATGAAAGCAAAAATTGTGCCTTGGGTATTATTGGCTTATTATATTATTTATTAAGAACTCACGTATTCCTCAACATTTTCCCAGCTGAAACTAAAAGGGAAATCCATTTATTAAAAATGTTAATATCAATCTTCTATATTTATTAAAATCAAATGAAGAAATTTAAATATTAACTTACCAGAGTTTTAGTGCAGTATCCAAAAGCAATTTCATAGTGAATTTGGTGTTTCTCTTGCAATATTTTTGGGCCATAGGATTCTACAATAGTATACAGACCAACATTTTCTGGATAGACTATTTGAGCCCAAAGTGTCAGGACTTCTCCTTTGTCCAAAAGGTAAAAACTACCAGCAACATTATTATGAAATGCCGTGTATGGGCATTTGTCTTTTGTCTTGAAACCTATACTTTCTATTTCCAGTCTTAAGGGATATTCTTGTACATATAGTGTGCCATTGTCAAAAACATGCAGGAGATATGATTGCCCAGATGGAGTTTGGAAAAAGAATGTTCTTGTTATGTTCTCTGCCCATAAATGCAGCCTCACCATATCTCTAACATTAATCTTGGAATAAAATATCATATTATTTTCCATTTTTATCAAAATATTTCCAAAATAATCTGGAAAAAAGAGAGAAAATATGTGTTATTCTAAGTAACCATAAATCACTCTTTTAAAAAATCTAAGTTTACTTTTAAGCAAAATAATTTATTTTATAATGACTATTTATATGCTTTGAGAAAATTAGAGTGTGACGCATGTACCCATTACTTTACACTCTATTGTAGAACTTCTCTCCTACTTCATTGTAAAGTATTCTATTTTCTTCTTGAATATGTTTTCTCCTTCTATTACGATATCATTTCTATACATCACATCATTTACATAGAAAAAAGAGCTGGAATTAGTGTATAAAGCAAAATGAGCCTGAGTCTGGCAGGAATGGTATTATTAAGAAGAGCTATGTTATGGACTGTGATCCCTGAGAATTTTTTTTTTCCCCCTTCAAATTCTTATGCTGAAACCCTGACACCCAACAGGACTGTAGATAGGGTTTTTAAGGAGCTAACTAAGGTTAAATGAAGTCATAAGCCAGAAGAGGTCCTAGTCCAGTAGGACCGGTGCCCTTATAAGAAGAGGAAGAGACACCAGAGATCTCTCTTCCTGGGCACACAGAGAAGAAATACTGTGTGAGGACAAGTGATAAGGTGGCCATCTACAAGCCAGGAATTGAGGTTTCATCAGAAACAGTACCTTAATCTTGGATTTCTAGCCTTCAGAAATGTGAGAAAATAAATTTTTGGTTTTTAGGTCACAGAGTCTGTGGTACTTTGTTGTGGTGGCCCTAGTGGACTAAGACCTTGGGATGAAAAAATGGAGGTGAGTGGGGATGGCGAGAGTGGTACATAAGGCATAGCCTACCTCTTTAGGCTTACTCATAGTGGGTAAGCAACTTTCTCTGGGCAACTTGGTGAGACCTCATCTCTACAATAAATCAAAATGAGCCGGGCATGGTAGTGTGCGCCTGTAGTTCCAGCTACTTGGAAGGCTGAGGCGGAAGGATCGCCGGAGCCAGCAGGTCGAGGCTGCGGTGGCCGGGAGCAGCCACTGCACTCCAGTCTGGGTGACAGAGTGAGACTCCAACTCAAAAAAAAAACAAAAAAACAACTTTCTCTACTTAATCAAGTATTCTGCCTAAGTTACAGCGGGTCGTAGCTGTAACTCTCCCAACCTCTTTGGTTCTGTTGCCATATCTGTTAAATGAACAGTTGGAGTAGCTGATTTCATAGCTTTCTTTCAAGATATGCCATTCTTTGTGTATAGCCTCTAGGGATATACCTTCTTTAATTTTCAAAAGATAACACTTGGAGAAGACTGACTGCAAGGAGAAAGGTGAAGTCATAGAGTCAGGAAGGTGCAGGTTGTGTTGCGCTTATGCCTCTTACATTCAGAATCTAAATAAATCAGTAACATTTTTACAAACTACCATACATTATATTTTACTCAGAGATATATGCAACTGATCAACAAGGTGGAAGAGGAGAAACATATGAGTGAATGACATAATAATAAAATAGATTTCTATGTTGAGCGAGAAAGCCTTTGCAGGATCCATACAGTAAAATGCTATGCAAAATTTAAAACCTCACAATACAAAAGAATATATTGTTTTTGGATTATGCTTAGGTCCAAATTGATTCATAATGTGGTTTGCCTTTCATTTAGCTGGGTTTCTCGCTTGCGGTGTTTTACCTTGCACCTGTTATCTAGACATATTGACCTAAATTCAAGTTCTCCTAACTTGCCATGTTCTCTCTCACCTCCAGTCTTGGCACATGTTGCATTCTCAGCTTGGAATGCTACTCAATCCCTATCCCAACCAGGGAAATCATTTTTCTGATGTACATCCTCTCCCCTTGGTTTGGAAGTCATTTCTTTACACCCAGTTTTCTGATCCCATACATCTGGATTTGATGCTTCTTATATGTGGTTTCATAGCACCTGCTTTTTTGCTGATCACACGGCTGATTAAAAACATCATTTAGTGCTCTTTGGATTAGAAATGAAGTTAAGGTGAAAAGTAAGAATGGTTTAATGGATAATGACAATAAGAGCATTATATGTAGAATCTCATGGGACGCAGCTGAAGCCAAACATACATAGCCTTTTGCTTGTGTATAGCTTTAAATGCTTAGAAAACAAGAAAGACATTCTTAGAAGTTTGTAGTTTCTTCATTTGTTAGTTTTATAAGACATAAATGAGCTCACCATTTAACTTAAGAAGCAAGCAATAGACCACTAAAGTTACAAAAAGAAACCAGAAATGAAGAATCAATAATGGCAAAAAGCAGAAATCAAGGAATTCAATAAAAAAGAAAGTAGATTTGATTTGGAAAATTAAGAGTTCTTTTCAAAAGGAAAAGAAAAAAAATTGAACTAAAAATAATAAACAATCTCTTGCAAGCCAAACTGATAAAGGGTAGGACACAAAAAATAATGTAAAGGAGAAAGAGGATATAATTGCAGGTACATAAGAAATTTAAGAGTTAAAATGGGACACTTTTGTCAATAAATTAGAAAATCTAGATAAAAAGAATAATTTCCTAGGAAAATACAAACTTCTAAAATTAACTCAAGTAAGAAAAGAAAATTTGAGCAGACTTGGTTACATAAGAATACAAATTCTAAATACCAAACTCTCCTCAAAATGGTACAGGAAATTACAAGCCAGAGAAAATATGTGCAATACATGTCAGAGATTTAAAAAACCATCAGTGGTGGCTGAGCATGGTGGCTCACGCCTGTAATCCCAGCACTTTGGGAGGCGGACACAAGAGGATTGCCTTAGCCCAGAGGTTCAAGACCAATCTGGGCAACTTTGTAGACCTCATCTCTACAATAAATCAAAAAATTAACCAGGTGTGGTGGTGCACGCTTGTTGTTCCAGCTACTTGGAAGTCAGAGACGGAAGGATTTCCTGAGCCCAGCAGGTCTGAGGCTGCAGTAGTCATGAGCATGCCACTGCACTCCAGCCTGGGCAACAGAGTGAGATTCCAGATCAAACCAAACCAAGCCAAACCATCTCACTGTAAATAAACAACCCAATGCAAAAATGTATAAGCAGCATGAATAGACAATCCATAGAAGAATATGGTCAATACATTTATGAAATTAGATAAAATAATTATAAAAGATATGCATAATAAAATGGGCATCACATTTTTCTTCTATACAATTGGTAAATGTTAAAGAGATTATATGAAAATATACATTTTTGCCGGGCTCGGTGGCTCAGCCTGTAATCCCGCGCCTTTGGGAGGCTGAGGTGAGTGGATTGCCTGAGCCCACGGGTTTGAGACCCGCCTGGGCAACTTGGCAAGACCTCATCTCTACAATGAATCAAAAAATTAGCCGGGTGTGGTAGCACGCGCCTGTAGTTCCAGCTACTCGGAAGGCTGAGGCGGAAGGATCGCTGGAGCCCACCAGGTCGAGGCTGCAGTGACCGGGAGCGGCCACTGCACTCCAGTCTGGGCGACAGAGTGCGACTCCAACTCAAAAAAAAAAAAAAAAGAAAATATACATTTTTGACTGGGTGCAGTGGCTCACGTCTATAATCCTAGCACTTTGGAAACCCTAGGCAGGAGGATTGCATGAGCCCAGGAGCTTGAGACTAGCCTTTGCTACAACCTTGTTGCTACAAAAAAAAAAAAAAATTAGCTGGATGTAGTGGTGCACACCTGTAGTCCCAGCCACTTGGGAGGCAGCTGAAGGTAGAAAGATTGCCCCAGCCCAAGAAGTCAAGGCTGTGGTGAGCTGTGATTGTGCCACAGTCCTCTATCCTGGGTGATAGATACCCCGACTCAAATAAAAAAATAAAATATAGAAACAATTTAAGCAGTTGACCTCCAAAAACTCACCTGAATTTATGCTCAGTGGCACTGTCCCTGGGACCACAGGAGAAAGATCCTATTGCTATCAAAGGCCAACCTTCTCTTATCACTGGATTCCCACCCCTCCTTCCCCTGGTCACCTTTCCAGGATGTGGCTCCAACAGTTACTTTCTCCTCCTTGCAAAATCAGTTTCCCTCTCTCCACTAGATCATTCCTATCAGCATAAAAACATATTTTATGGTTTCTCATCCAAAAATGGAAAACAAAAACAAGCTCACCCTAGACTCCTACCACTATAGTGACACAACATTCCTCTATTTTTCTCCATAACAAAATTTTTTGCCATCTTCTTGTCCCATTCACTATTTTAAAAAACACCCTTGGGAGGCCAAGGTGGGAGAATTGCTTGAGCCCAGGAGTTCAAGACCAGCCTAGGCAACACAGTGAGACCTTGTCTCTACAAAAACATTTAAAAAATTAGTGAGGCTTTTAGGAATCAGGAGGGGGAAGATGAAAAAATAGGCCGAGGAGGAATAGCTAGTGAAGTCTCAGGAAGATCAAAAAAGCATTACCTGAGAAGTTAAGTGAAACTCAGTGTTTCAAGTAAAAGGCCATGCTGAACTGTTTCAAATGCTTCCGATGGGTCAGATATAGAGACTGAAAACTACCACTCACTGGGTTAGCAACATAAGGTTATCGATAACCTGGACAAAAGCAGTCTCTGTGGAAAGTTTATTAGAGTGGTTTCAAAAAAGAATGAGAGGATAGAAGGGAAAAAATGAAGCCAGGCTATACTTTCTAGAAGTTTTGTAAAGGGGAGCAGAAAATTTAATTGTTGGGAGTTGAAAGATAATATGGGGTCAAAAAAGAGTGATTAAAAGTTACAGTGATATTTCCTTTAAATGCTGTGGTTAGTTTATCTCTTAGCTAGACCTAACTTTCTATTTCTTTGCATTTCCTGTAATGTTTAGTAGACTACTTGGAATAATAAAATAAAAAATAACAACTACTAATCGAAACCCCTTGTCGAGCTTTGCTAAAACATTTTACTTATACAATCCCTTATCTAATCAACACGCCTGTTTTATATTATGGATTAGAAAACTGGAGTTTAGAGCGACTAAATGGTTTGCTTATAGATCTGAATACAAATCTCTAAATCTACTACACATGTTTATGGGTTGAACTATGTATCCTCCCCACCAAAAATTAAAAAAGAAAAAAAGATATGCTGCAGTTCTAACCCCCTAGTGCTACCTCAGAATGTGATCTTATTTAGAAATAGGATCATCACAGATGTAGTTCATTGAGATGAAGCCATGCTGGACTAGGGCCCCTAATTCAATATGACTGGTGTCCTTATAACAAGACGGAGACACACAGGGAGAAGGCTATGTGATGACTAGAACGGTGCAGCTGGAAGCCAAGGAAGGACAAGGATCACAAGCAAACCACCACAAACTGGGAAGAAGCAAGGAAAAGTTCCCCTTCATGCTTCAGAGGGAACATGGCCCTATCAGCATCTGATTTCCGACTTCAAGCCTCCTGAACTGTGAAACAGCACATTTCTGTTGTTCTAAGTCACTCAGTTTATGGCACTTTGTTCCAGGAGTCCTAGGAAATGAAAGCAGCACCAAGCACCTCCTATACACTGACAATGTGTATACAAGGGGGACCCCAAAAACCCAGAAATTTATTTATTTAAAAATGTGGCCAGGCTCGGTGGCTCAGCCTGTAATCCCACTGCTTTAGGAGGCTGAGGTGAGCGGATTGCCTGAGCCCACGGATTCCAGACCCGCCTGGGTAACTTGGCGAGACCTCATCTCCACAATAAATCAAAAAAATAAAAAAATTAGCCGGGCGTGGTAGCGCACGCCTGTAGTTCCAGCGACTTGGAAGGCTGAGGCGGAAGGATCGCCGGAGCCCAGCAGGTTGAGGCTGTGGTGGCTGGGAGCGGCCACCGCACTCCAGTCTGTGCAACAAAGTGAGACTCCAACTCAAAAAAAAAAAAAAAAAAAGTGTATTTATTCTTACATATTTAAACTTCAGTCACCTTCAAAGTGCTCTCCATTTGATGTAATATTTCTATTGAGATGCTTTTAACACTGCTCAAAACAGTTTTTGAACGTGTCAATTTTGGTGTCTTTTAGTGCTTCTGCTGCTTTTTATTTCATCTCTTCCACATCGCAAAATCTTTCCCTTTGAGGAATTTTTTCATCCAGGGAAACAAACAAAAAAGTCGCTTGGGGTGAGATCAAATGGATAGGGAAGGTGGGGCATGGGGGTTATGCTGCTTTTGGTCAAAAACTGCTGAACAGTCAGAGTGGGGTGGGCAGGTGCGTGTTATGGTGGAAGAACCAGTTTACCTGTTTGCCACAACTTCCACAAATTGTGATGCAACCTTCTCAAAACGTCCACATAAAAACTTTGACTGTTTGATTCAGAGGAACCAATTCCAAGTGCGCTACAAGGGGCCCATGCTTCAAAAGATAATTCCGTGGGTTTTTTTTTTTTCAGTCCTCCTTCATAAATTGCCTAGTTAGAATCTACTGATTGACAAAAATGAAACTAAAAAAAAAAAAAGAAGAACTTGAACTGCCTTTTTGCTATGTGAGATCATAGTTAACAATAGTTGAATTTAAAATCTATTTTTTTTTATTTTTAGGTGGCAAAAAGTGCACCTTTAGCTATCAAGAACACCATAGCACCATATATTGATGCATTAAAAATAGTTCCATAATTCTAAGAAGAATGTCTATGATGAAATCTAGAATAATTTTAGCAGATTGAGAATGCTTTACCTAGGAAAACTTCATGAATGATGCTGTCATTTGCCAGTAGTGATAGATTTCTATTTCCTGCAGGGGTCTGTAAAATCCCAGTAATGGTGAAATTATTATAATAATAGTAGATTCTATGCTTGTCCCATAGTAGTAATCCTGGCATTGCTGAAAATGTAAAATATGGAACTAAAAAACTGTCAGTAGGGACATCAAGTATAAAGTCTTGGAATGCCCACTGTTTTGTATCTTCATTATAAATCACCATTAAAATCTTTTTGGTGAGAGTACATATAGTGCAATAATTTAATAACACAGCAATTTCCAGAGGGTGTCCTGTGTACTCAACATTGTGTATAGTCAGAGTAGCAGCTGATGATAGATTTAGAAGAGTTTTAAGTTCTATAGTGGTTATTATTCTAGCAAATTTAAGAAAAATGTATCCAAGGTAAACTTCATTTTCTGTCCACACTACCATGTTGCTTCTTCTTCCTATAGCCTGTGACAAAATTGAAAACAATTAGAAAAATATTTTATTTCAGGGACAGGTCTAACAATCGTCTTCTAATTTTCTGCATTTATAAATAAAGGATACCTTAGTAACTACTAAAGTTTAATTTTGTTTTAGTATATTTTTGAATACTCAGGCATAGAAATATATGATACAGAAATATATCATATTACATGTAACCATAAAAAATAAATTATCCCAGTAATTTTATTTCTTCATATATTATTTCTATCAGTAGGAATAGTACATTTTAATTTCCTTTTAAATCTTTAAAGCACATCAGAATTCTCTTTCCTTATGTATTTATCACTCTGGCCAGGAGTGCCCCTTTGACCTTGATGTTTACTATGATCAAGATATAAGGACACTTCAAACATTAACCTATTTTTGGAATTCTAGAATCCTTGGATATCAGATAAAGAGAAGAGGGAACTTAAAAACCTCGATAAATCAATATTACCCTATTATGGAGACTGTTAGAGGGAAGGGCATTCTAGAAACTGTTGTGTCTGAAATTTAGTGGGTCTAATTATATCTAGCAATCCAAGGCCCTCCTCCGCCTCTGTCTCCTCGCCGCACCTTAAAATTCATCGGAATTTTAACTTAAAATGTAACTTCTCTGTCCATGACAATCAAAAGGAACCTTTCAAGCACATTTCGTCTTCCTCATTTCTGTTAATGTGCAAATATTTAGTCTATACTCAAAGGTGTAGGCATGTATCAAACTGGTAACGGAAGAGACAATTGGAATAAAGTCATTTTACTAAAGATTTACTTTAATGCATAGGGCTTATATTGCTGGAAATGAGTGCCTGGAACAATTCTTAAAGAGGAAATAAATTAGAAACAAAATCAGGAGCACCTCATAGAAGAGACCATAGCCATTCTCATTCCTGACAGAGACATGGGAAGAGAAATGTCTTAAACATGACAGATGAGAATTCCAAGGAGCCTCAGCCATGGAGTGACTTTTTACTCACTCACAAACTGTTTTCTATGTATTTTCACTTAGTGCTTTCATGTAGTAAGCCAAAGGACTTCACGCAAGGCAGGGGAGCGGAGAGATCCTTCTGAAGCATTCGGAACCTCTCCCAAACATAATGCAGGAACCCTCTGAAGGCAGGAAGGGGGCAATGGAGCAAGTTGAGAGAAACCCGACCATCCTCTGGATTCTGAGCTCCATGACTGGAAGTGGGGTCAGACAGCTGAAGGGGACTCTCTATCTGAGACAGCCTCAGCCTTTACCCAGAGTATAAAGCAGCCTCCCTGCCAAGATTGGGGACAAGGGAAGGTGACAAAGAGAGAGGGAGAAGGAGAAGCAGAGGGGACAGAAAGGGAGGGGAGGGGAAGAGAAGGAAGGAGGAGAGGGAGAGTCCCTCAATGCACCACAATTCAGAGGTAGATGAGAAGGAAAGAGAATCACTCTCTGATAAAAAAAACTAGAAGCTACGTTATAAGGCAGAGAGAGCTTTCCCGAGGTTTAAATAATAACACAATGGACATACCAAAGCTTGGTAACATGTGGAAGTACTAGGAAAAAAGCTGCCAAAATATTTTGCAATGTCTTAATTATTACAACTTTATAATAAATCTTGATATGTGATGGAAGAAATACTCTACTACTCTTTCCCCTCCCAGCCCTCAGCTCTTTAGTCTTTCATATATGTTTTGGAATCTTTATTGAGTTCCACAAAGTCACATTGGGATTTTGATTGGAATTGCATCAGTTCTATAGATAAATTTGGGAAGAATTAAACATTTTATAATGTGTTCCTATGCATGAGTATGATATTTTTACTCATTTTTTTTTAGGTCTTCTTTACTGTTTCTGGTAACATTTTGTTTTTATCTCAATACATTTTTAGTGGCATTTATTTCTAAATATTTTTAATTTTTATCTATTTTGAATTTTCATGTGAATTTTAGAATTAGCCTCTCAATTCCTGTAAAAAATTCTACTGGGATTTTAATTGGTGTTTTTCTGAATTTCTCAAGAATTGATATTTTAAAACAATGTTGAGTCTTTCCATATTCTATCTTTCTCCATTTTTTTGGTCTTTAATTTACTCAGTAATGTTGTTTTAGTTTTTAGTGTACACATTTGCAAATCTTTGGTCAATTTATTCTTTAGTATTTCACATTTTAGTATATTGTATTTGTATAGTATATTGTATAGTATTTGAAGAAGTGCAATTATTAATTGCATATATAGAAATACAATTGATTTTTAAAATATTGCTCGTATATCCTGCTTTCTTGGTAAACCCATATATTAGCCCTAATACTTTAAAAAAATAGATTCCATCAGCTTTTCTACATCTAACAATGTTGCTTGTGAATAGAGACAGTTTTACTTCTTCCTTTCTAATCTATATATCTTTTATCTGGAAGTTGTGAGAAAGTTGCTCACCATTTGTGGAAATGGTGGCAAACAGGTGATTGCCTCTTCCACCATGACAACGCACCTGCCCACACCTCTCTGTGTGTTCAGCAGTTTTTTACCAAAAAAACGGCATGATCCCTGTGCCCCACCCTCTCCATTCACTGGCTCTTGCTCCAAGCTACTTTCTTTGTTGCCCTGGATGAAAAAAAAATTCCTCAAAGGGAAACATTTTGTGATATGGAAGAGGTGAAACAAAAAAGCAGCAGAAGCACAAAAAGGCATCAAAATTGAAGCATTCAAAAACTGATTTGAGCAGGGGAAAAAGCATCAAATGGAGAGTACTTTGAAAATGACTGGGGTTTAAACATATAAGAATAAATACCCAGCCGGGCTCGGTGGCTCAGCCTGTAATCCTGCGCTTTGGGAGGCTGAGGTGAGTGAATTGCCTGAGCCTGAGGGTTCAAGACCCGCCTGGCAACTTGGCGAGACCTCATCTCTACAATAGATCAAAAATTAGCCGGGCGTGGTAGCACACGCCTGTAGTTCCAGCCACTCGGAAGGCTGAGGCGGAAGGATCGCCAGAGGCCAGCAGGTCGAGGCTGTGGTGGCTGGGAGTAGCCACTGCCCTCCAGTCTGGGCCACGGAGTGAGACTCCAACTCAAAATAAATAAATACCCAATTTTTTATAGATACATTCCAGTTTTGTGTCCTCCTCGTGTTTCCCACAATCCTGTTAATTGATCATTTGTGTCTTCTCTCTCTTTCTTTTTAAAAAATCTTTATCCATCTGGTTACAGGGTTATCAATTTTATTGTTTAGTTCAAAAAACCATCTTTAGTTTCATTGATTCTCTCTGCAGTTTTTTTCTATTTTCTATGCCACTAATTTATCCAATGGTCTTTATCCTTTCCTTTATTTACCTTACTTTTGGTTTAACTTGCCCTTTTCTTCTAGTTTCTTAATGTGCAAGTGGATAATTGATTTGAATCATTTCATTTCTTCTCTTCTAATTTGGAGGATTAATATTATGAATTTCTCTTTAGTTTCATCCCACAGGTTTGACATGTTTTGTTTTATTTTTCTTTCATGTGAAAAAACTGTCTAACTAGCTTTTAAAATTTGTTCTTTGACTCATAGGTTATTTAGATGTGTTATTTAGTTTCTTATTATTTGAGGGGATATTACAGATATCTTTGTTATGGTTTCTAGCTTAATTTCATTGTTGTCAAGAACATATTTTGTATGACCTGAATAGTTTTAAGCATATCAAGACTTGTTTTATGGCCCAGAACATGATCTGCTTTGGTAAATGTTCCATGTTCATTTGAAAAGAATGTATATTTTGTTGTTGGACAGAATGTCATATAAATGTCAACTTGATCTAGATGGTTAATAGTGTTATGTCTTCAATTCTCATACTGATTTTCTATGTCTTCTATCAATTGTTGAAAAGAGGTAATAAAGTATCTGACTATAATTGTGGGCTTTATGTATTTCTCCTTGAAGTTCTATTACTTTTTGCTTCATGTATTTTGAAGCTTTGTCACTAAGTCAATAAATATTTATGATTTTTAAGTGCTCTTGAGGAATTGACCCCATTATTATTATTATCATCATTATTATTATTTTTTGAGTTGGAGTCTCACTCTGTTGCCCAGACTGGAGTGCAGTGGCTACTCCTGGCCACCGCAACCTTGACCTGCTGGGCTCCGGTGATCCTTCCACCTCAGCCTTCCAAGTAGCAGGAATTACAGGCATGCGCTACCACTCCCGGATGATTTTTTGATTTATTGTAGAGATGAGGTCTCACTGCCCAGGCAGGTCTCAAACCCGCGGGCTCAGGCAATTCACTCACCTCAGCCTCCCAAAGGTGCGGGATTACAGGCTGAGCCACCAAGCCTGGCTGTTGCTTAAGTTTTTAAAGATACATCTTTAACCTCTCACAAAACTTTAAGTTAGGCCAATTCAAATGCAGTATAAGAGCATTACAAAAGTATACTTCTACTTCTCCCTCCTATCTTTTGTGCTATTTTTGTCATACATTTTATTTTTACATGTTATTAACATCATAGTACATTGTTACTGTTTTTCTTTGAACAGTAACTTATCTTTTAAAGGAATTTAAATTATAAGAAAACTAATGTATGTAGCCTGTAGTTACCATTTCCAGTGCTGTTCACTTGTGTAGATCAATATTTTCATTTGGTTTAGTTTTCCATTTCTTCAAAGGACTTCCTTTAATTTTTTCCAGAGTTGTTATACTAGCAATGAGTTATCTAAGCTTTTGTTTATCTGAAAATGTTTTAATTTTGCCCCCTCCTTTTGAGTTTTCTCTCTTTGTTTCTTAGTTAATCTAGCTAGTGGTCTATCAATTTTGTTTATTTTTTCAAAGAACCAACTTTCTATTTCATTGATCCTTTGCATTGTTTTTCAGATTTCAATTTCATTTAGCTCTGCTCTGATCTTTATTTCTTTTCTTCTGCTAGCTTTGGGTTTGCTTTTGTTCATGTTTTTCTAGTTCCTTGAAGTGTGATGTTGGGCTGTTGATTCATAGTCTTTCAGTTTTATTAATGTAGGCTTTAAGCACTATAAATTTTCCTCTGAG